TTCAACTTCCAGAATCCCACCTAACAGTGAATGTAACAAATTTTTAATCCCCACCTCGCATCCATTGAAGCGTGATTGTACAAAAATAAAAACAAATCTCATGGCCATCAACAAATACCACGAATTCAAATACAATTGAATGAAAAAATAAAATAAAAATACGACAGACAAGCCTCGAACTTGAACTTGATCATTGAAAATGATCAAAAAGAAACGTTAACGACATGAATGGTGTAGATTTGTTTTTGTTTTATGTTTTTTTTCATGATTTCTATTTTCATACATTACATTTGGTTCAAATAGTTCACAATGAAAGCTGAAATAAAAAAAGTAGACAAATATTTTAGCGCCATGACAGCTCTCTTACAATCGAAACAAAAAAACATCGAGACAACAAAAAACTGCAAACGCACGCAATCTCTAAACACAATTACTATAATTAACTAATTAAATAATCACAAACATTTGTTGTTGTTTTTATTTTAAATTCGAAATGTATTTCTCTAATTAGAAATGAAATTGACAGACATTGTCAGCAATTGTTAGTTGTTGTTGTGTGTTCGCTTTTTTATCGATTTAAGGTTGGGTTAAGCCCTTTCTAAAATGGGCTAGCTGCATTGCTTACTCATTGGGGTGTGTTTTTTGTAGGAATTTCACACTTCCGTTTACAGGTGTTATTTCATAATTGACATCGGAAAGGTTTGTAAAATATTAAAACTATAGGGGGAGTTCAAGGCACAGTAAAACACGTTTAAGACTACGATTGATAAACCCCCATGAATCAGATCTTTGCAATCAGAATACAAATATGAAACATTTCTTGGCCGCGAGCATTTTTTTGAAATCTAGGAAAATAAAATAATCGCTGGTCTTGAGACAGAATTGGAGAATACGAAAGCAATATTTATTATTGACACAAACTTCAAAAAAGAAGCACTTATTTTGCTTCAAACGGACGTCATAATAATATCATCATGATTTAGATCAGGTTCATCGCAAGCAGAATTTGGAATGAAAATATGAATATGGACTCAAATTTATTACTCCAATCTCTATTCCGAATCATCAACTTGTTATCAGGCGACAAGAGTTTTTATATTACAGACAGTTTTTATCATACGTAGAACAAATTCTACGAATAAATTTCTAAACCTAATTCTTGATAGTGGCTGTGCAGCTGAACAATTCACACACACACACACACATCTTTTGAAGATTAGGTCTAAGGCATATATTTGCAGTACAGGTCTTCCTCATTGACCTGCTATCTCCAGGCATATATAAACTTTTTTACTCAAATTATCGCTTAAAATCTCAATTTTAATTGGTCCAAATCCGTTTTAGGATCGATTTACTTATACCAGTCTGTCAGGCTGTTGCGCACAATAACTTTCGAAAAGTGTAACCGTTTTTATCCTATCTTTGACAATATTTCTCTCAATATTGGTCCACTCCTTCTGGCACATTAGTCAAAAAATTATCACAATTTTGAAAATTTGTACATCAAATATCTAGCGAATTCAATGCCCAACATGGTTTCACATCGAAGATGAGACCCATAGCTAAAATGCAAAAAGGCGTAACTAACAAAAGCATAATTGTGTAGGAGAATGAAAACTATAAACATGTCATGTGAAATTAAAAAGTATGCCCGGCAGGGTGATATTGCATATGACGAATAATAGACTAATTTTTTTTACAAATTTAGTTTAATGCCAGTCATAACAATTAACTAAAAATGTAAATTTTTTGTTAGTTACGCCTTTTTGCATTTATCAAATAAATCCACTTGTAGTTACGTCTTTTTGTTTTTTGTTAATAGAAGCTCCTTTTTTGACCGCAGACGTGTAAAACTTTGTAAACACGTGTAGTTTATTGACATTCACAATATTCATTCAAAAAGTCAATTTTTTGTTAGTTACGCCTTTTTGCATTTTAGTTAACGATATTTCATATGAAGCTAATAGGCTGTACATAATATGAATCCTGTGTAATCTAAACCTAAGCATCGATTTAGATAAATTATCGAATATATAATCCATCACCTCCCCCACAAAAGTCAGCATTAGGCTATTTTTGATATTTCCAAAGGCAATAGAATCCTTTATATTCACTTGTTCACCTTTATTTTCACTTGTTTACATTTATTTAAAATTCCATTTCTATTTGCAATTTTTTTAATTCCCATGGGAAAAACTAAAATCAATTGACTTATTAAATGGCGCATTCTTTATTAAATTGTTTCGTTTTTATTGCAAACTATTTAACTGGCATTTAAGCACGCCTCGTTGAGAAAAAGTGTTCTTTCTTTGGCGTGTGGTTAAATTGTTCAATAAATTGCTCGGTATTTGATAATTACTGGTTATTATCTAAACAAATAATGACGTCAGAGTAGAGGCAGCACGCTTTCACGTTTCATTCAATATTTTGTTTTTGTTGTCTTGAATTTTATTTTACTATAATAAAATTAAAAACAAACAAAAGTAAACAAAATCGTAATAAACAAATAAACGAAAAAGAAAAATAAATCACTGAATAAAAGGTGGTTCATTGACCACCTTATATAATACGTAATGAAAACAAAAGTTTAAATTACGAGTACACATTTAAAAGAAATAACAAAATAAATGACAAGAAAAATAATAATAAAAACAAAACAAAAATTACAAAACAAACGTAATAATGAAAAAAACTCGATCATTTAATGGTTACCAAAATTAATTCATTAATCATTGTGGGTTTCGAATAGCAGCTACCCTACACACACTCGTTGCTACAATATATCCCAGTTGGAAACAAAAACTTAAATGCAACGGAAATCGTGAACTTTAAAGAGGAAAAGAACACAGACAGCATTTATATATATCTGGCTCTACCACGCATGGGTCTATTCATCATTGTTTTGCTGACGATCACGATGATGATCTTCTTGTTGACCTTCACTCCCAAACAAAACCAAAAAAAAAACTAAGCCATCAAAAAACTCAACGGTTCAATCGACAGACCGACCGACCACATCATTATTTCTGTGTGTCTTGATTCTAATGTCATGATTTCAATTTCAGCTTTTAAATAAAAGAACATAACCCATTAATAACAAGCTGAGGAGAGCACCATTTTTGCCAAATTCTTAATAAGCTTTAAGGGGCTTATCATTTGTTGTGCAATACAAAATATTTCGTTTTATGAATTTACCAATATATCCAAACTTTTTGGGGGATTTTGAAAATACTTAAAATCTATTGGATCTTTTATGTGGGAGGCTAAATTGTTGGTAGGAAGATTTGGCGCCCAATGAGAACCCTTAATATCAAATTATAGTAAAAATTGTGGTTTTGGAGTACGAAGGGGCTTACCAATCCTACCTTACAGATTCCCCACAGTGGACCTCTAAGTATGATTTAATATATAAACATAGAATTCAAAAACTGTCAACAAATGATAAAAATTAAAATTTGTGCAATGAAATAAGTTAAGGTCCTGAACCTATACCTTACAGATACCCCACACTAGGATTCGATGATAAATTTACTTACGATGAAATTTTTAACTGTGTATGGAAGTGCTTGAAGAAGGCTGTCTAAAGGAAGATTCTATATGGACTGGAATTGCAATGCAGCTTTTATTTTTATGCCCTCAGCATGTTTGGCTAATGCATAATACACTTTGATACGGTGAAAATTTACCTCATCGAAATATTGGTTTTAGACCCCATATTTCTTTGGACCAAATCCGTTTCAGAAAATTTGGAGTCGATTTACAAAAGTCCGTCTGTCTGGTTGGGGCGCACGATAACTCTCGAAGGCAATAATCGATTTCTTTCAAGATTTTCACATCTTATTATTTCTTCAAAACTTAGTTCAAGTTCGAAGATGGGGAATATCGATCAATTCCTTTTGGTACCTCCTCCACACAATTGTGGGAGAGGTACCAAAATTTTATAATATCATGCCTATTTGAAACAAACTTTGTGCAACCTATTATCTTACCACATCAAAGGAAGGAGTGGACCAATGGGTACCATGGTCCATTCAATATTTAATATTTAAAAATCCTATATCAGGCGTATGAAATGTCCGATTTGAATGAAACTTTGTACAACCTAGCCTAGATCAAGAAGGAAGATGAGACCCATTGGTCCCATAATTGTTTGTACACAAAGGTTGATCGATTCTTCAGGAGTCGGGTTATAGATGATATAACGTAGTATTTAATAGTACATTTACATTGTACATGATTAAGTAAATCCAAAGATATAATGATAAAAATTTGAACATATTTTCAGTATAAAAATAGTCTTTAATTTTTTATGAAATTCAAGATATGGAATTTATATCCATTGGTAGTTATAATTTATTAATAATTATACTCCTATATTTGGGTGTTCTATTTCCAAGTAAAAAATAGGAATTTACTTCAAATATTAGTAAAAAAATAAGTTTAATAGTAAAATCAGCTTAGCTTTAAAGCTTTTTGAATTCATAATTTCTGCTGCTAAAATTAATATTGTGTTCTCAGAATATTTCTCAGCTCTAACCACAAACTTTAAATTATTCCTTGAATAAAAAACTGTGTGGCCATCCTTAAATTTGCCTAATACGATTTTAATTGAATACTTTTTTTGAATGCTCTATAAGTTTTAGTTCCAGGAAATTTAAATATTTTTTGTCCGAACATAAGTGAAACCATTTAACATTTATAAATTATCAAAACAAAAGAAACATTAAACTAATATTTGATTCTCTCCCTCCGTTTCTTCTTCTACTTTCAGTTGTTTCCATGAAATTAAATTGGATTTGATGAGAAGTGAATATGCAACAGAGGCCGTTTGATTTTGACACAACATATCAATCAAATTTGTTATTGTTAATTTAAAGAACAAACCAACAACCAATTGAAACTTGAACACAAATTTAAAAAGGAAACCATAAATTGCCAAAAAAGAAGGAGGAATCTACGAGATTTTTGCCAATATATTGAAATTAGAACTCAAACAGAGTTTATTTATTCCATTTGAGGAAGTGAGAGCGATAACACAGCAACAAAATGCGCTTTATAATATTAATATTAGGTTTAGGTAAGTTTTTGTTTAACTATTTTAACATTTAAACAAATATAAATATTAATTTGTTCATATGCATATTTTTTTAGTTCTTCACATAGCATGTGGCCAATACCATCAATCCTCCGCTTCGGTGGGTGTAAATTTTGGAAATATCTCGCCACCACATATGACGGGCGGTGCCATGGCCTCATCGCAAAGCGAACAGGATAAACCACGAACACGACGCATGTATGCCATGTGTCCGCCATCTTTCCAACGCATCGGCACCGAATGTTTTTCATTGTCTCAACACCAGGGTAGCTGGCTGGAGGGCCATTTCTTTTGCAAAGATAAAAATGCCCGCCTGGCCGAACCGGAAAAATATGCAAATCGTAAATTGCGACAATTTTTATTGCAAAATGATGCAAGTAAGTTGATTTTTTTTAATGTTTTGTTTGAAAAGTTATTTATTTGTGAACAATGTTTTTTTTCGTAGATACGGATCCCATATGGATTGGCGCCACATACGATTGGGTCAACAAAATGTGGCAATGGAGTATTAGCGGACGCAATTTAACATTTAATGATTTTTATGATAAATCAACAGAGTAAGTTGAATATTTAGTAGAAACGAAAAAAAACCTTTATTTTCAGCAGCAGAATTTCTAGTCAGAATAGATGGAACGAGGTAATTGATTTATCTTGAAATATCCTCTAATTTCAAATAATGATGTTATCTATCAAATTGACTTTGGTGAATTATAACTTAAGGGGACCCCCCCCCATTCTCGGGGTCAAAATTTTTGTTGATATAATTCGAATCTACACTGATTAAAGAATGTCTCTACAAAATTTCAAGTGAAAATCTCAAGAACTGTTGAAGATATATCCGATTTAGTGTGTCAGCATCATGTGACGGCTAAAGGGTTTCTCAAACTTTAAACGCGTTTTCTCTAAACATTTTTTGCGAATGGCGGGCACGATAACTCAAAAACTAATAATCCAATCGGTTCCAAATTTTGCATCGTTTCTCTGGGAGTGTATTGCTCTCGTATGAACTAGGATAAAGCCAATCGGTGAAGATCTTCCTTATTTTTTAATTTGGTTTTTGGTCAAAAATCGGCGATTTTCCAAAAATATTTTTTCAAAGGTCCACCATTTTGTTAATTTTAGAGCGAAGTCAATAATCCTAGTTCATACGAGAGCCAGACATGTACTCTTTCTAACACCGTTGGAATTTTCGGATTCCGATGTTCCAGTGAGGAGTTATCATGCCCGCCATCAAAAATAAGGACTTTTCTTTAATTACAAAAAACAACAACAAAACAATAACAAAAATTTTTTGTAAATTATTTTTCTTCTTTTTTAAATCTTCAATTATATATGGGCAAAGTTACAAACCTTAACAAGCATTGGTATTGATTTACCAGCCCATTGAAAATCTTAAAAAATTCAAATCGAGAATGGGGGGGGTTCCCTTAACATACCCTTTTAAACTTGAAATGCAAAATATCCAATTTAATCGGATACATTTTCTATTACCAAATCAAAGTTATTTAAAATGGGATAAATTAATATATATACATTTGGCAATAGCATTACGGATTCTTGGAGGGTATAAAACATAGCCCCGTGTTTCAACATATTCCCTATGTAGAGTATCGGTCCTATTGTAGCCATTTGATGGGCTCTAGACTGCATTGTATAAATAATTGATTGTAATATTGCATTTTGTAATATCAAGAGACCATAGTAGTTGTAACCCGACATTTCGGGTTATCAAAGAGTCCAAAACCTCATGACAGAACAGTTTTAATATTAAACCATGTTTCCGCCCCTATTAAAGTTCCTAGTCATTTTTTACAATCTAAAACGGGATTCACATTAGAACTTTTTTCGGGTAACCTTTTTTATATCTACTAGATTTAATAAATGCGGTACAATGTAAACATACTATTAGTGGCCGCAATTCGGTAGAGGTATTATTAATGTGAATTTTTAAATATGACTATTCTAGTGCGAATTATAATTTGCTTTAAAATTCGATGAACCTTTCTTGCCAGTGAGCATTCGTTTGAGTTCTTAATCGCTGGGGGCATACATAGAGAATAAAAGGGCATACTAAGTCCAATTTGTTATGTTTTAAAAACTACGAATCCGACACCTGACAAAATATTCATACCCTTGTCTTTTGAAGGTTAGGACAATGTATAATTAAATCCATATCGACGCCTCCGAACCATAGTATGCTAAGTCGACTTAGCATGTTTTAAAGTTCTTTACGTTTTTAGATACTATGGTCCTTAATTTAAATTCTCTGAAATTTTGGTAATCATCGCGCAATCCAAACCAAAGTTATAAGCAAAAATGTACTTAGCATGGCACGTAAGATATAAGAAACTTCCATACTTTGAGAGCTTCTACAGAAAAACTCACTTTTCAGACTTAGCATACTATTCTTCGGAGGCGTCGATATATGTAATTATATTAGCGCTATCTATACTACTAAATGGGATGAATTTATGATGGTAAGTTATATCTAGTTTCGAGACCGGGTCTGGACAAATATCCGGCTTACAAATAAATGTTTTTTGGGCCATTTTTTTAGACTGCACGTTTCTCAATGAATTCCAGCTCTTAAAATATACGCACAATTGGACTTTCTGAAATAATATAAGACAAAGGAAAACTGTAAACAGATTATAAATAGATTTCATCTTCGACATTAGGTCGGATTCCAGCTTTCTACTTTAAAAGTTTTGATTCCAGAGAGTTCGAGGAATTTTGCAAATTACCGACTACCAGAATGGCTTCCGGATATATTTTTTTCTTAATTTACCTATTACTCCGGAGGGTGAAAAGCATCTTTTTTCAGGTTTTTAGTATCCGAAAAATGTAATTTATATTAATTATTTTAAAAATTTTGATTTCCTTTTATTTACAGACACACTATGGAAAATCATTGCGCAGTATTTGATCCTCAATATAAATATAGGTAAGTGTTGGAAAAGTAGATTTTCACTGCTGTTTATAAAAAGAAGGGACGAAACAAGTTTTGTTGTTTTTAGAAAATATTTTTCTTATGATAATTTAGCAATTTTTATTGCATTCAAACAACACCGTTATAATTTTTTATTTCAATTGATATATTCTCTTGCAAATGCTTGTCGCCTGATGTTAATATCCCATTAAAATACATGATTATGTTTTACACCAACTGAATATTAATATTCAATTTTGTGTCAATAAATTTCACTACTACTAGCCGACACAAAAAACACATCGTTTACCAGGGCAATATATTATGTTGCCTTCAATTTTATGCACAGCAATGCCTCATGCATTTTTTTGCTCCATTACTGTAAACGCTTTTAGACTCACTGGCCCACAAAAATGAATGTGCAAAATAATTTATAAAATATTCTTAAAAAGAGTGTGGCTAAATAAATTCCATGGACTGACTACGTCCATGTTACTTGGCAATGTACGAACCCATATTGCATTTCTAAAAGTCAGCACACAACATGGAACACAGAAACGTGCAAATGTCAAATGTTTTTGCAAAAACAACAACAACGACAACAATAACAAAAAAGTAGGTGGATATCTTAATTGACAGGCGTAAAAAGCTGTTCGGACTTTTGATTTTCAATCGAATGGAAAGTTAAAACAATGAATGAGTCTTAGGAAAATTAAAATATATACATAAAATACTTTGTAGACGAAATGAATAATTCATAATTGAATTATATTGAACTGCAAAATCTCCAATAATTGATCATTTGCAAAAAAAATGACGGTAATGTATTTCAAATCGTATCGATATTATATTTTGTTTGGTTTCAATTTCCAACAACGCAACATGACTGTAATTTCTAATAAAGCCATCTTCATTAGCCTTATACATATTTTTCAGAATATTTTCCTAAAACCGACTTTATACATTCTAAAGTTTCTATAAATGGACTTATCAATTTAAAGATGACCGTATGGCATGTTTTGAATCGAAATTTTTCTTTTGTTATTTCCTTCAAATAAAATTTATTGATTTGCTTCTTTCATTCCCTCTAGGTGGTCATCGAGATCATGTGTGGACAAACATCGTTTCATTTGCCAACATAAAATGCCCAAGGTTAGCGAAAAGAATCGCCACAAGGTCTACAATCGCTGGAATGCCACCTATCCCAATCAATTGGCTAATGAAGTTATTTTGGAGGTGATCGATCGTAAAGGAAGGTAAGTACTGAAAAATAAATATACTGAAGCGGAATAGATATAAATCGTGGTATGTGCTTGTGGTATAAGATGCAGTCGGTCGCTTGTTCTTTCCACAATATAAAAATCGTCTTGTATTGAAAGTTCAAAATTGTACCTTCCACATGATACAATTTTTTTTCGAAATGTTGCTGACAAGAAGAAATAGAGTTTAAATTTTGCACAATCGTTTTTTGAATCTTGTCAATCAATAGATGGCGCTGACGACAGGTGTTTGCCAGTGTTGCCATGCTAACAAATCTGGCAAAATTCATTCATTCACATTTGAATACGATACAGCGACAAATCATACGAATATCTTTAGCTTGAATATCCACCTTCCACCCGTATTCAAGAAGGTTTGCCTGAGTAGCCATGTTAACAAAAAACTAGTGAGCTAAGCAGTATAGTCGAACGGGGCCGACCATATGATACCCTAAACAACTACCATTGAAATTTATATTTTGCGGATCTATATTCCGAGCCTGGACAATATTTCGCGATATATACATCTTGATCGTGTGGTAAATGCCAACAAATGCAATTTTTGGCACTTTTCACACAAAATTGTGGGCCACGAAGTTGCAAACTCTTGAGGAAACTCAAAGCTATTATACCCTTACATCATAGTTGTGAAGGGTATACAAATCCATGCCTTTGTTTAGTCTTTGAAAAATGTTTAAAAATCCACGCCTGTGCGTGGTTCCTAAAAAATACTTTTATGAAAATTCAGGCAAATTTTTGACGGTCGAAAAGATTTTAAAAAAATCCACGTCTATTAAAATCTACGCCCATATTCGGCCCTTGAATGAAATTTTTTATAAAGTTTTCTTATGGACGTCAAAAAAAAACTGTTAGTGGGGGTTCTCAATGTTAGTTTCTCAGTAATATTTACTGTTCAGTATTTAATTGTGAAACCATAACGTCACATGTCTATCCTGGCTCCCAATGAATTTAAAAAAATCCCAAACATTTTGCGAATTTTTGGGTAAATTTTACAAAACTACCAGGTTGCCCCCAAAATGTAAAAAAATTGATCTGGCAACTCTCTACCCGAGAAAAAATTCGAGCGCCTAAAAGTATGCTACACATTTTGTTATTTCTTATTATGGTGTTGGCAGACGCAATTTTTTCTTACATTTTTATTTTTGGCGGGCTACTTTCTATTTTATTCTGGGGGCCTGGTATTTTTGTGAAATTTGCTCAAAAAGCACAAAAACCAGTTGAAGGAAAAAATTGTGACGTCATCACATACATGGTATCACACGCATAAGGTGCATTGATTTATACTTTTAACGCATTTGAATTTATAAATAAAAAAACAAACTTCATTTTTAGTAAATTCTTTTCTTTTTAATTTTTATTATTAAATATTCTTTGTAAAAAAATTTACAAAATATTAATTTTAATAAATAATTTTCATAACAACATGCTATGTTTAATTACTTCAAAAAATCATATCTTTAGCTTAGAATATCCACATACCTACCGTGTCCATGAAAATTTGCCAGAGTTACATGTAAACATAAAATAACAATTTTCTTTGTTTAACCATAACAATTGACTGCTTAACTACATAGATGAAATGCTTAGAATATTTTGTAATAAAATACACATTAAACTTTGAATCTCAAGAGGTATTTATTTGTTTAGAATACATACATCTACGCGGCTATATTAATGCACTTCAATCTAAAAGAATTGATTTTTTTGAATCTGACATTTTAGCGGCATATTTATTGCGAAGCTAAATCCACTTTATGGATTAATAGGTGGCGCAGAAAACTCAGGTTTTTCAACAGTACTCTCCTCACTATCGGCAGTTTTTTCCGATGTCTCAGGTTTTGTTTCATCCGTTTCCAAAAAATTATCCCATTTATTAAGACGCTTTTGGATTTCTTCTTCGGTTTCTTCAATTCTGGAAATGAATAAATATTTGATTAGTTATATAAACGAATATACAAATATTATTGCATTTAACGCACTTGTATTTTGTTTTACCATCCCAATGTTCGGCTGTCAATTGACGTTTACCAAAAAATCTTCCATGCATCATTTGTATTACTAAATCAGCTTCCTCGGGTGAGGACATATTAACCTGGGCAACGCCTTCAGAGTGACGCTGGAAAACAAAACAAAATAATTAGTATATGACTTACATATTTATTAATGCAACCTACATCATAGATAATGACTTTGCGCACAGTACCACATTTACTACACTCCTCTCTCAAATCGTTTTGATAGTCCAATATAAGTTGTACTTCTTTCTCAAATAGATCGGGATGGAAAAGATTTTTAATAATGACACTTTTTTCATGTTTAAATCGTTCACCACGCATTTTTTCTGGACGCCAATCAAACAGCCTGTAGAAGAAAAATAATATTTCATATAATTTAGGAAATTATAAAAAATAATCAATGAATGAATTACTTTTCTTTGATTTTGGCCAATTTCTCTTTGTCTTTCTTTTTCCTTTTCGGTTTAAGTGCCGGATTGTATTCACCTCTCATTTGAAATTGCGCCCGTTGAACACGTATTTTATGGCCTCTCAAGTCATATTCATCCAGTATTTTTAAAGCCAAATGCACGGATTCCACCTATAAAGAAATTGGTTATGTTGGAGATTAGATTTGAAAACTGTTGGGAAGCATTCGAATGTTTTAAAGATTTTTTGTGAATACTTAATTAATACTATTTCATTTTTATACCTCAAATTTGATCCAAAATTATTTTTGTATTTAAATTTCTTCGATTTGCATTAATTTTGCATTCATTTTTGCATTAATTTTGCAGATACAATCGTCGTGTCATTGCCGATGGCAGTAATGAAGAAATGGTTGTCCCAACACGTCCCGGTAGCCACAATCGTCGCCGTCGTCCACGACCTCAACGACCCACCGCCGTGCCCAGTGAAAATGATGTCAACTACCAATCTCCCCAGCCCATTAGACATCAACGTGTTCGCCCAACCACCTCCACCACAACTCCTTACCCCTACAGCGTAGCCTCCTCCCTACCAAATAATAGTGACAATGAAATACTGACACCACATCAGGCGGTCACACCAACTCCTGCCAATGCCCAAAAACGTAAAAATACAAACGTCCGAACCAAATTGGATCGCGAATTGGAACGTCAACGCCAAAAGGAATTGCGTCGTATGCAACGCAAAAAGGAACGCCAGGAGAAGAAACGCCGCGAAAAGGCTGAAACCTTGAGAAAAATGCGCGAACAAAGGGAACAAGAAAAGCGTAAAATGCACGAAGAAAAGATGAGACAAAAACAATTGATGCAACAACAACTAGAACAACAAAGACAATTGGACCAAATTCGCCAAAAAGAAAACGAGGCCGAACAACAGAGACAGCAACGTGAAAAACAATTGGAGGACACACAACAGAAGAGCAAATTGCAAGAAATCGAATCCTTGAAGAAGCAGCGCGAAGAAGAAGAACGCAAACGTTTGGAAGATGAGGCGGAGGAGCGTAGACGTCAAGCTTATTTGGAAAAAATGCGCGAATTGGAGGAACAAGAGAGAGCCAAAATCGAAGAGGAACGTAAAAAAGAACTAGAAAAGAAAATGGAAGAAGCCCGCAAACAGGAAGAAGAACGTAAGCGTTTGGAGGAAGCCAAGCGTAAAGAATACGAAGAGCGTCTGAAACAAGCTGAAGATGAAAGGGCACGCCAGTTGGCCGAGGAACAAGAACGCAGACGTTTGCAGGACGAAGCTAATCGCCGTCAAATCGAAGAGGAACAAAAACGCAAACAAGAAGAAGAACGCAGACGTCTAGATGAGGAGGAGGAACGTTTAAGATTACAACGACTGGAGGAAGAGAGACGCGTTGAGGAACAAGAGTTAGCTCGCCTGCGTGAAGAACAAAGAAAACGGGCCGAAATCGAACGTAAACGCGAAGAACAAATCAAACGCTTGGAGGAGGAACAAAAACGTATTGCCGAAGAAGAAGCACGCATTAAATCGGAACTGGAAGAGGCGGAGAGACAACGTAAACTCGAAATGGAAATGGAAGCTAAACGGGCCGAGGAAGAAGCCCGTGCAAAAGAAGAAGAACTTAAACGCCGCGAAGAGCAAGAGGAACGCGATCGTTTGGCCAAAATCGAACAAGCCAAACAAATAGAAGAGTCGCGCAAAGAACAAACCAAAAACGAAGTTAGTAATAATTTCAGAAATCGTTTGGCCTCCCTGTCGCCGGAATTGTTAAAGGAATTCATGGAGAAACGAAAACAACGTAAATTGCAAAAAATGAGAGAAGAGAAGGCGAGACAGGAGGCATTAGCAAATGGTTCAGCATAAAATTCTTCATTTCTTCATCCAGAAACTTATTATTCTTTCCACACAACAACAACAAGAAAAACTGAAACGAAAATTTGCGAATAATAATTTTTGATAGTCTCTCTCCCATTAGTGTTCTCTCTAATTGTATCTATGTTTGTATATTTTCCATTGTTAATTGAAAAAGAGAACATGAGTTTACTCTCTTTTGTTGTAAGCATTAAAGAGAGTTGAAAAAAACACACAAAATTTTAATATTTTTCTTTCGACAATTCGTAAATGTTTTTTTTTTTTTATTTAAAAAAAAATATATTTCCCCAAAATTTGTAAAAGCACGAATTGTTTTAATTTTGTATTTCGTTTTCGCATTGTTAAAATCCCACTGACCACAACATCCCCCATTAGTACAGTGATTTAAGTGCACTATAGTATTAACATTTTAAACCCCGGTTTTAATAAACAATCAAAACAGAAAAAGTCAAATGCCAAAATACTTATGTGAGAAAATATTTTTAAAAAAGAAAATATTTTTTAAATACATAACAAGAAGAACTGTATATACATATCCTTAAAATGTAATGCACCAAACTTTTTTAATAATAGATTTTTTAAAACTATACTGCTCTACTCCCAACAACCGATACCACTACTTTCCATAATATAAAAACCAAAACAAATAAAAGCCGAATAAGAACCTACAACGATATTTAGAAATATGATTAGGGGTGGGGGACATCATAGTCAAATTTATTAACAGAAAAAATAATATGATATTCTCGAGAATACAAATAATTCCATATTTGTTCTTGATGTCAGTCACTCTTAATCATATGCCTAAGAAACACAGTGCTGCAAATGAAAAGATGACATGCTGTGGCATATTCAAAATAAAAAAAAAACTGGCAAATGTGAGGTTATGCCCAAAATACTTATTGTAATTGTATGCCAATTTTATTACAATCTCGCATTTCAAAATTTTTTGGTTGCAATTTTGTAGCACTGTGTAATTACCAAAATAGAAAAACAAGCAAAGGACAGTATCATTCACTCATTCAAAAAACGAATATATAAATATTAATAAAAAATATTTAATTTTAAGTTTTTTCTAATGAAAGCACTGCTCTTTAAGAAAAAGAACTATACAGTAGCCATAAATATATGAATGAAAAATATTAAAAAGCAAATAATAAAATTATATATAAATTATAGAATTCTAAGAAATTAAAAAAAAAAAAAAACAGAATTGCACAAAAATAAAACCAATTTTTTAATGAATGCAAAACAAGGCAAAGCAAAGCAAATAATTGTTAAACAAATCTTAAATAAAAATATGATTTAAAAATGATTATAAATTAATTATCATTGTTTTCATTAAAAAATTAAAACATAAACCCCACAAGTAAAATACCGCAAAGTTACTGTTAAATTTAAGCTTTAAATAATTACGAAAAAAATTATTTTATTTTTATAAAGAAAACTTATTTGTAACACAATTTATTAATTACCTCAAAATGTAAGTTATTATGTTTTATTATTATTTTTTTAATTTAATTTAATGTTATTTTTTATAAAATTGTTTGGCCTTCTTTTTTCTACACAGCAAATGTATTGTATTAAATGTTAATTCATTGATATTTTTATAATTTTAAACAAAAATCTTTTTTAAAATATCTTAAATCTAAACTAACCCTGGATATAAAAATACAAACACATCTTTACATAGAACGTATAAAATTGAAATAGTCAAAAACAAAAATCTAATATTAAAAAAAAGTATTCTATTAAGTAACAAATAAAAAACGATACAAATAAAAAATAACAAAACAAGTTGAGTGTTTTATTCCTTAATTTCTAAAAATTAATCCGTAAACGTGGGTTTTCTAACAACCAGGAGGTATGACCGTGCAATATTATCAAATACAGTATGAGGTTTTCCTAAAGGTTTACCGTGGATTTTATAGACATATTTTTTAATGGCTAGCCACAGGCTTTCATATTTAAGCATATTTTAAGAAACATCGAAATGCTCTTGGAAGACGTATATGTTTCCCCAGAAGAAGATTCGATATCGTTTTTATGACTCTTGTCTCACTTTTAACTTATGATCGGCTATACCTAATAGAGGTGGATATAAAAAAATCGATTCTATCATGCTTAATGAAACATTTACCTATAAAAATAGTTGTGAAACTAATTATTTGAAAATAATTTTAGAGCAACCACTATGAATAGATTTTTCACCTACCTTAATGTAATCACATAAACCATCACCCTTCAGCTGACCATCAGCTTCTGCATAAAGTTTCAATTTTAATTTCTGGCTCTGGGGATCACGCATAATCATGCCACATTTACCCATAAGCTCGGCAAATTCATCCATTGTTATATCCAAGGGCAAATTAGAAACATAAACTTTTGTATTGTGCTCAGGATCAATTTCAAACCATTCTAAAGGCAGGATAACAAAAAAAGGAAATTAGAAGGAAAGCGATTTTCCTAATGTATATTGACATACTTGGTGGCTCTTGTGCTTTACGTTTTGCAGGACCTTTAACTGCGTCCTCACTACTTTTCATAGCCTCCTCAGTCATTTTTTGTAACTCTTTCTCTTTCAATTCTGCAGCTTTTATTTCTTGTTGTTTCTTTTCATTTTCAGCCTGTGTGGTATTGTCAATAAAACCATAATTCATTTGATAACGTGCCATAAAATCTTCATCGATTTTGGGGAACCAAGCATTTTTCTCCACATCCCAAAAGTACACCGTGCCATCTCGGTCCGTATAGATACGTTGTCCGTCCTCGTCAATGTCATAAACAATATCCTTGGATTGCTGAGCGGAATTGCTGTCCGGATTCTTGGGTATCCATTGCTGTTTCTCACTATCCCATTTGTAATGGTCGGTTTCGGTTACCTGCACCTGTTTTGGTATCCATTTCTGTGTTTCCTGACACCATTTGTAGTGTTCATTTTCATAGGGATTGTCAGCCGTTGGGGTAGTTTGTGATTCCGCTGGAATCCAATTATTGGTTTTCGTACACCATTTATATTGATATTTTGTTGCAGGATCCGTATATATGGCATTGCCATCATCGGTGTAGGTAACATGCTCAGCGTAATCATCTTTGGAGGGATTTGTAGATGTTTTACTTGCAGTTTCGCTTGTAGGATTTTCTTGTGCTGTTTTATTGTCTGGTGAATTCTTTGTTGAATCTGTAGATTTTTGAGGATTTGAAGTTACTTCTTTACTTGGACTTGATTGTGAGATTTTGTTAGAATCGGTAGCTATTTTAGAATTTTCGTTGCACTCATCTGTTGGATTTTCTTTTACAGTCACTTCAGAATCTGAAATTTCGTTCGTTTTTCCGCTGGACTCTTGATTTTCCGTTACTGTCGTTTCACATGCTGCATTGTATTCAGTTTCTTTCGTTTCATTGTTGTCTAATTTTTTAAGCTCTTCTTTATTCTTATCACAAACATTTTCACTCGATTTTGATGTTTTATCATTGTCTTCCACAGCCCTTGTTTCCGTTACACTTTCACGATTATCCTCTTTGGCAGGAATTGACTTTTCATTTAGCAAATTAACGTTTTCACTTTCGACCTTTGTTGTATTGTCTTCTATTATTGTATTATCTTTTGTGCCAGCACATTGCTCTTCACTCTCTGTTTCTGTTTCCGCTGCCTCAATGTCTGACGGTTCATCCTGTTGACCCTCGCTCATCGTTAAATTGTTTTAAACTGTAAAGAAAAAAATAAATGAAGGAATTTGTGTTTTAATGTTCATAATTATTTCAAGGAAAAAGTCGGTGAACAGGGAAGGGAAATGTAGGAAAAAGCTGCAAGTATTAATTGTATTTTAAAGGTTGTACGGAATATCAGAAAAAAATTATATTTTTCTTTGAAAAACATTGAATATTATGTATTGGATATAAATATTCCGGAATGCTTATTACTTGGTTGCAGTATGCTTGGTTGCAGTATAGATCGAATAAAACCCCATTGAATTAACATATTACACTGTGAGAGAAACTGTGGTCATGGTCTGTGGTGGGAAAGTCCTATTGACACCTTTGTGAACCCCAGAAGGACATAAGTCAAAGTGTGAAAACATGGTGTGTCATCCCATATAGGAAGATTCGCACCAAAATCTTATCGCACAGTGTTATTAAGTGTGTTTAATATGAGACTTTATAAAAATCCACCACGTAAACATATCCCTACGAACTTTCCATTGACCTAATTGCCGGAACGTCTTGCTCCTTACAGTTGCCTCGAAAAATAAACTTTTTTTATATTTCCCGTTTTCTTCGCAAAAGTTTATTAACCTCTTTTGTACTCAGTTAATTTATAGTATAATATTCTACTAACATGTTGATTTATAATTTGAAAGAATAGTTAAATATTTAACAAATGGCTATTAGACGACTTGTCAAATGTCGGCGGATACCAACAACATCGATGTGAGGACAAAAGGAAGAGAAAAAAACATTAGTGAACATAACAATTTGTATAAAAATAGAGCAGAGATGGGAAATTAGAATATATCTAAATTGAATATCCAATTAGGTAAAATTTTAGAACCTTCCGATAATATTTTTAAAAAATGTGGACCGATTTATCCAATTGTTCAATACAAAAATGTAAGTCTCAAATTTGGGCGCTATTATGATTTCATATGAACATTGAAAAGCTAGAATTTAAACTAATTAATAATTTTGGGGTGTTGCCAATGGAATGACAAATTAAATTAAATTTCCATCTGCGAAGTCTTGGCCAAACGGAATGAAATAGACCCATTTCTTAAACTTATGGTGACCGGAGATGAGAAATGGATCACATGTGCGAAAACGATCGTGGTCAAAGAGCGGTGAAGCAACTCAAACGGTGGCCAAACCAGGACTGACGGCCAGGAAGGTTCTGCTATACATTTGGTTGGACTGGAAGGGGGGATTATTTATTATGAGTGGTTTCTATATGGCCAAGCGCTAAATTCTGATCTCTTCTGTGAACAACTGGACCGTTTGATGATAGCTATTGACCAGAAACGGCCAGACTTGGCCAACAGGAGAGGTGTCGTGTTCCACCAGGACAACGCTAGCCCACACACATCGCCAGAAACTTCGGGAGCTTGGTTGGGAAGTTTTAATGCATCTGCCATAAAGTCCGGACTTGGCACAAAGGGATTATCATATTTTTCTTGCATTGCAAATTTCTTTAATGATAAAAAATTGGTATCTAGGTATGATTGTGAAAATCGACTATTAGAGTTTTTTCCAAATAGAGAGCAGGACTTCTATGAGAGAGGCAAATGGCAACAAGTCATACAACAAAAAAGGTGCATATTTGGCCCATATCGGATTCCAAAGCATGTTAATGTCCTATAGTGCACTTAAAAAATGGATTTATTTTTTTCATCCTAATATAATCCACCTTATGGTAAGGGGGTACAAAGAAATTTTAGTTTTAATTTTTAAAATCTTATATTTATATTAATTAAAAAAATATTATTTAATTATAAAAACTGATATTTTATTTTTTTATCTTATTTTAATCCACTTTTCCATCCCTGCAATAATATAGCAATATCCATTAACGATTTTTTGAACCCAAAAAAAAAAAAAGGTTGTTGAACTTAAAGTGGCTTAATACATCCAATTTCTTTCCTTTTCAAATCAATCAATAATTGAACATATTCCAAAAAGGAAACACTTTTTCCATAATCGCTTCTTTCATTTCGTATTATTGTATCCATATAGTTTCGTCCGTTTGCAAGTGTTAGACGAGACGACAACGTTTTTTGGTATGGCTTAAAGGAGGTAATATGAAGACGACACGAGCATAAACAGAACAAAGGTGCTGTGAGGTAGTCAAGTGTCAGTAACACCGTTAGTGGAATTTGGTAAGGTAGCAGCACAAGACGAGAAGCACAGGAGGAAAAGCATGTCTCAAAAACTGACAAACAAAAAACAACAAGTTAAATGACCTGCTTCTACCGGTTGGTCATCAACAACACTATGGAGATGGAGTGTGGAACACATTACATTTATATATTGTGTAAGGAGAGGTGTCTACTATAGGCAGGATGTGTGGAAACAATAACAATACATATTTATAAATGTTGATAATAGTGATAAAAGTTTAAGGTGTAAGTCAGATACTCTAAAAACCGACACTTAACAAACACCATAGCATTGGTCTTCAGGGATTTATAAATTGTTACACATGAAAAAATCTTAATCCCTCGTTTTCGACAACTGCTCAAATCTAATTAAAATTATTTTTCTATCAAACTACATTCAAAACTTTACATTCGATCCACGCTATTATATACTATAATAAAAAGGAATCACATACCCAACTAAGGAAAACAAAGTCTTTAAGTATCCCTGAAATCCATTTTGCCAACCTGGTCTTAATACATTCATAAGTACCTACGCGTGTGTGTATGAGTTAGCGTGCACAAATATTTATTCAGATAGTTGTTGTTTATTTGTTTGGCTTTCATTGGATCTGAATGTAGATTTAATGCTGCTGTTGTTGTGGTTGTTGTTATTGTTATCCTATGTGTTAGCCAAGTTGTATGCATGGCCAAAAACATTAACTTAAGTTTATGTTCGTAGCATTATTCTTAGCCAAATGAAAGTAAAGACAAGACACATTGTTGGACATAGCACAGCTAAAGGAATTTTCGACGTAAACTTCAATAAGCTTTCACCACCACAGGCAGACTGGCAAGCGGCTGTGGCCATTATGCGATTATAATGACCTTCAAGTTCTTTACCATAATTGACTTTCATTTCCGGCGAAACAAAAATAAAAGTTACATTTGTAATGTCCTAATGTCTAACACTTGACCAAACACCCCCACTCCCTGCGTACACACAAACACTCATACATACAGCCAATGGCAATGTGGTTATCGTAAAGAAAAAATTCTTTTCTTATGGTATTGTTGTTGTTTATTTAAGTTGGTTGTTGTTTATTTCTGTTGCTGTTGGTTCTTTTGGCAATAAAAAAATAAACTTTTTTCTCCCGCCATTTTCCTCAGCTGTAATGTCAGTAACACACATTGTTTATATATTTACACAATCCAGTGGGGCTATACAGGGAGGTGTATTAGAAAAAATAAAAAAGAAATAGTTTCTTTCCTTTGTTTTTTTACGTATATATAAATGTCTGTGTGTGTACTCCATGTGTCGAAATATAATGAAGAAAAATGCTTGATTTCCGTTCGCCAACACCAACGCTTTGAGTGTCAAATTCTTAACACGAATTGTCCGCAATACAATGACCTGTCCACCTTTTGCACTATTTCAATAGAAATCAGAATTTATGATTTGATTTCATAACATGGGAAGGTGAGGACATTGAAGAGGAACTTGAAGAAGTCATTTGAGAATTAAGAAATAGAATGAATAAGTTATTGTAATTCATATGAAACCTTTAGGTAGAGAGGATATAAAGGACAGATTCAAAGGAAAGAATGGTATATAGGATTCCCTTCAAGAGCACAAGTTTTTAAGAAGATCTGTACACGTAAATAGTGTAAAGCTTGGTGTAAAGCATATATACGTTTTATACGTCATATATATATATATATATATATATATACATATATTCTATACATCTTCATGTTATTATTACCAAGAAAACCTTATCGCAATACATGTGCATAACACCACCTTCATATACACGGGGGTGTATTTTATGTAAATTTCTTTCTGTTCCATTGAAAGTAAAATCTGGCGTGGTATATCCATTTCGTCATAACTACTTAAGTCGCTAATCGTATTTTCTTTATATTTGGATTTTCCATCTTCAACAGAATATTCTAATTAGAAACAGTTAATTATAAGGATTTTCACACAGTTGGATTTCTCTAATGAATAATTAACTAAATAAGTATAAACACACACACACACCACGCACATAAATACATACAACCATAATTCCATGATCCACTTCTATGACGCATATGAACACAATTAATAAATGCTTTCTATAATAATGTCCTATTTAGGGAATTTGGTAAATTTCATTGAAATATATTTCCACAGAAAATAATAGTGGCTTCTAAAATTTTGGAGAAATAAAAAAGGGCCTTACGCGGAAGTATAAATCGTTTTACTCTCAAGAGCATTAACTGGAAAAATTACATATTTCAAGTTTTGTGTCAAACGTATTTTTTAAAATCCACAAATGTCATGTATGAAATAAAAAATACCATCGTCAAGTTATTCGCTTTTCAATATAGAGAATAGGGCAAAAATGTATACAGTACCCATTTTTGTATACAGTCCAAATTATTGAAATTGCTTCGCATTCGAATTGTACATATTGTACCCTCAAAATTATGATTGATTCTCGTAATAAATAAATAAGAGTAAGTTTACCGACTTTTTCGTAGACATTCAATTTTCTTTTCTTTATATGGGACTTTTATTTCTCAGAAAGAATGTACCGATTACAAGGATGTGGAGACATCACATTATGTTCATGCCCTAATTAAGATAGTTGCATTAAATCTATGCACAGGAAATCGTTGTATGGTCACGGAAAAAAATTCACTGTTCAAAGGATTAAATATTTCTGTAGAAATGTATTCCGTTATATTTAAATCAATTCTATAAAATATGTATATATTTACTCCTTTACAAAACAACACATTTCCCCGGAAAGAACCTTAAACTTTAAAAATATGCAATGAAGAATTTCAGTTGGTTTTTTTATTTGTTTCAACATTTGCATATCTTCGTACACACTTTTTTGCACATGTACTTATCTATGATAAACCTGATAAAGAAATGCCGACAACACCAACAAACACAAAGGTAAAATAAAATATAAACAACTACATACACATAGAGATGGAATAATGTCAACTTGATATACGAAGAGCTACAAAAGAAACACACTTTTTAGGTAGGTTAGTAGTGTAAAAGAAATAGAAAAAGAAATAAATATTACAATTTCAACACTATATATTTACACTCAGTGACAAAAGTATGTATCCAGGTTACACGAGAACCAGAAACCTAATATTCTACTAACTTATATGCTACTTCTAACTGATGAATTAGGAAATAAGAGGCAAATATCGATTAATTTGTTTCGACTAAAAATATGACATTTAAATAAACTATTTTTTAATATCCTTGTTAATAATTCTAAAAATGTTGTTAAATTATATATATATATAATAATTCATCAATAATATTTCAATAAAATCTTCATAATAATTTGTATTTATTATCCTTTATTTTAACCCTTAGTGTTACCACAGTTATTCAAGGCAAAAATATAAAACTTCTCTGAAAACATGTGGCAAAATGTTTACTTGGGCTTTTTTTAAAATTTGCATATAATGGTTTTACATGTCGTTTTTGTTGTTGCTGTTCAAGTTGTTGCACTTTATGGTCGGTCTTTGCTATCCAATAAAACAACGACAACAAGGAAAATAAAACAAGCCACAGAAAAAAACACCACAACTGTTGGTGGTCAACAGCAAAAGCAACAAGAGAGCCATCATGTAGGCTTAAATTACCAAAGACCCACATTCAAATGTAACCAAAAACCTACCAATAACTGTAACTAAGAAATGAACATGACAACAACGACAACTAGAAAAACAAGCAAAGGAGCCAAAAAGGCCATTTGTAGGACATTGTCCTGTAAATACCATTAAAAATTCTAAATAAAAATGTTCTGCATTTGAAATGTTGATACACTTTAAAATATCAAACATGAGACTAGAATTTGATGGACATTTGAAAATAAATATTTAACAATAAATATCAAATACTATAGACATACCTATTTACATGTAAGTAATTGTCACAGTTCATCAACCAGGAATGTGGGTGTGTAGGACAATATTTAAGTTTATACCCACCACCAAGATGGGATTTTTTCGGTATATGCTGAATTACAATTGGATAGACAAATCTTCCTTTCAAAAATTATAAATATGGACTATATTGATGATTTTGTGTTAATTAACCTTTCCATAAAAAAGTTGCTGAACATGTAGTAGCTTGGAATCGATGGAAGGGTACTTGACGAATTTATCGGCATTTTTAATTGTTTTATAACTATTTTACAATCCCTTTACAATCCGAACTTTAACCCTTTCAGTGTTTTTGTCGGATATATTCGACATTTAAAATTATCCTAAGTACCGTTACAATTGATGTTTTTGCTGAAAGACAGACAAAACTGTCCGAGGAATAAAATAAGAATAACTTTTTTTCTAAACTCAGTGCCTTTATATGATCTTAAGTACAAAATTTTAGATTTTTTATTCCGACAAAAAATTTTTTTGACACTGAAAGGGTTAAGCGTCTATTTATTGATCATCTTTAAGATCCAGACCTTTTAATACATTTTAAGGTTTAATACATGTTTTTGTAATATAGGTTAGTCTATCCTTTGAAATCCCGAATTTGTTAATGTTAAGTTTAGAATTACTTTACTTTCCGTTTAAGAACAGTAAGCGTAGATTCGTATTAAAATATTCAGACTAAACTTTAATGCCCCAAGCGTGGATTTTTATTAAATCATAAGGTTGCTAGCAACCTGGCGTGAATTTTTAACGAAGTTTTTATTGCTTTGCTTACAGGTTCCTAAGCTGAGATTTTCTACGAATATTTTATTGCTTTGATTAAAGTTCAAAAAACGTTTAGGCAACAATTTAATACCATAAAATTGTGTTTTTATTTTTACTTTTAGTTATAGCTCGCCCTAGCCGTGTTTTTGGAATTTTTAAGGTACAGTTTTAAGGCCGCTAATCGTGGAATTATGTTGAAACTAATTTACCATAATTGTTATTAAAATGTGTTACTTAACATTTTAGTGTAGTTTACCGCCTTAAGGTCGAAAGGCTAGGCATCATGAATTTGAAATAGACAAAAAATAAAATATTAAGGTCCTTAAACCGGGATTATTAAATAATATTTTATTTCTCCTCTTCTGGGTCCATAAATTTTTAAGAAATATTTTCCTACAAGGTCCTTAAGGGTGGATTCTTGTTGAATCGTATTAGTTACTTAATAGGTCCCTTATAGTCCCCTGGGAGTGGATATGTAATTCATATTTTATTGCTACCCTATAAGTCCCCTTAGCGTGGATTTTTAATGAATATTTTATTGATTTCCTAATTCTTTTTGAAACACTGTGCTGTATTGGTAATTTATAAATCGAAAAAATCCAAATATGTAACTGTCATCAATTGTTATTAAATATTTAAAATGTATGTATGTATGTAGCTATTTCAACTTCCAAATAACATATTGACAAGTTGTTAAATTTCGTTTTACATACATATGGAATTGCTCTAGATTTTCAAATTATTTCCATGTCTAATTATAGACGTCACACATAATTTATATTCGAATTCCAAATGAAATCATATTTCCACTAACAACAACCCAAAAGGGGGACAATTATTTAGTTTAACTCATACTTTTAAAAACACAAAAAAAAATAAATTTAGTACTTACAAAGAGAGCATACGGCTATCAATGGTGAGAGAACAACAATACTGAGAGTGTGTGTGTAATTCTGTAAACAACAAACGAACTTTTAGTACTAGACCCCTTAACGGTCAAGTAACTACTAACACTTAGCATACTTTTAGGCATGAGCTAGACGACAGCCAGCAACTGAGCTAAACGAACAGGACATAAACTAAATCAAATGGGGTAAATGCAAGAGAATGACCACTAAGCCACAGTTGGAGAGTAGCCGTTGTACTGACCGGACACCTGGATACGCGAAACAAAACAATTCGGCGCGACAATAGACTAACGGTTTGGAATAACAAGTCATTCGACAAAGGGATTTACTTTCAATGATAAATAATGGCCTTTTTTTTAAATTGAAAATAACAAAACACGCAATTAAAAATTAATGTGTTGTTCATTAATTAATGTGTAATATTAAAAAGAAAAATATTTAAAAAATAAAAAATCAATTAAACAAAAACGAAATTACATCAAGTGAAATGGAAATTTACAAAATACAATGCATTTCAATTTAATATTTTATAAAGTAATTTAACTTATTGCGTAAAATGTCAAAAGGTTAAATGTTTTCAACGTCAACGGCGAAATAAAGCAACTAAATCTACAACAACTCTACAACATCTTTATCATCAAACGTTTTGTAACACAACCATAAAAAATGGATATTCCCAGCACTGGAGCAATTTTCACTTTGGGCAAATCCTATTTGGCCGAAAATAGTCAAAGTTATTTTTATATCAAAAATGATCCCATAAAAAGGCTCATAGCTGGCCCCTATCAGAGTGCAGTGATTTGTGGTAATTTGTAACAATAACAACAACAGCAACAAACTACATACTTGTATCATCATTTATTTAGGTTACCAACATAACACTTAAGTTACCCACCCAGAGGGGGAAAATGATAACACCTACTATTCCCATTTTTCATGTATGCTAATACTACACACACACATATTTTTTATACACTTCTTGTTTTCAAGCATGCATATATTATATGTGTATGTACATATATGTATATGGTTATGGTTTATTGTTACTGTTTGATATAAATTGACCAGCCAGGACAGGACATTCCTTGGGGAGTTTGACCTGCATTTGCCTTAAAGTAAAATATATTAGCCTTTAACTTTTTTTGGAGCACAACAAAAAAAACGATAACCACTAACAATAATAGCGTGTCACAACCAAAGGTAGCCATAAATATCTTTGTGGTGTAAGTTGGGAATATTTTCTTGCTCACGTTTAGGAATGAAATGGGATTTTTGTTTTTCATTTGCATGCCGACAATTTTTATAGTTATTGTTGTGTAAAAAAAATTTGAATGGTAACAACAACGACAAAAAGGTACAGAATATGTTAAATGGGTTAGAGTCTATGCCCAAGGGTAAATTAAATCATTTACTCAAAATAATCATAAAATTAATTGAATAAATTAAAAAAACCGTTTTTAGGAAACTTTAATTCGTTCAAACCATATATTCATTTCGGAACATTGTATATATTTGAATTGATATATACATGGATATTCTTGACATCTTAATTTGTCTAATATAGAATTCATGTATTGGAATACAAAAAAGGTTAAATCGTGGAGTAACAAATTGAACAAAGTTTGAATTGCTTTTATTTCATTTTTAATATATCCTGTGCATACAAATTAAACAAGGTTTTAATACAAATTAAACAAGGTTTTAATTGTGCGACGTTTCTGACGTATGTATTATACGTCGGAAATGTATGTCATTTACGTCACTGTTTCTGACGGACAATCTCTGGTAATGAATTTTCATTCTCATTGCATTAGTGTCGTGTTGAATGTAAGGTTTCTCAAACTTACATTCGACTGATGGCTGCACATTTTCCCTTGATTATACAAAGAACATACTTCAATATTTTTGAATGTTTTCCAAAGTCCTCGATGCTTTTGCACAAACATATTTTGATGTGACAAAGATGTATTTATGGATTCAAAGTATATTGCTTCTATAAATATTTATATATAAAATCGGAAACAATAATTATTGGCATCCAATTGGCTCAAAATGTGACCTAAATATGTTTAAATTTTTAATTTTAAGCAAAAATATCTTAGAATTGTTTCAACCATAACCATTTCTTGTCGTCATAAGCCGGGTGCATTAAAAGAAATTCCGGTACGTGTAAGGTGCCAATGCGAATGTTTACGTTGCATGTTACCGGCAATTATTTCTTCTTATTTTTCTCCTTTTTCATCATCATCCGACTTTCGAGCACTCAACTTCGATTGCAAGAACTTTCACTTTTGATTAATCCAATCACGTTGTTGGTATTACCTCCCTCCTGTAGTTCCCCCAAGAAAAAAATGAAAATAAACAAGAACTTTCGAAAGCACACTACTACAAAATATCATCGAATGACGTTTTTAATGGTCACAAGACCTAAACTGAGTTCTCAAAAATAAGGAACAACAACAATCACGATGACGACGACGCCAGTTTAAGTGCTATTAAAGTGGTAGAAATAAAAGGATAACATTGCTCCGACTGGTATTATTACCGAACTTCTTGCCGGAATATAGAAATTAAGCGGTCAACCTAGGCAATAAGTTTTGTTGGAAATAACATTTCGGGAAAAAAACAAAAACAATTTTTTTTTTGGTTTTATTTTTATTTTTTGAGGTCAGGTCGCATGGGGTTTTGTTAGTTTTACATGAAAAAACAAAACAACCAAACGACAATCTAATGGCTGACCATCATTTATTTGTAAATGACGGTCACTAGATTTTTATCAATTTCTGCGTATACAAACGAACCATAAACAACAACAACAGCAAACGAAATAAAATTCCAGTAAATAATTTGTCAAGGACATTGATAATTATTTGGAAAACCAATTCGGGCAATGGGTTTGTTGGATTTAATATTGACCATTAATATGAGTAGCAAATTTAACAGTTTCATTTTGTTGCAATAAATAAAATTCAATTATTTCAATATAATATCTAGATTTGATGTTTAGATTTTAATTATTTTTTTTTATTATTGTAATGAAGGAAAAATTGATTTAGTAATAAAAATCAGCATGTAATTTGTAATTTTCTTTGAACTCATTGCAAACGTATATTTGAAATGGAAAATATCACATTTTTGCGAATATCAACATATTTAACATAAAATACTAAAATCGGTCGAATTCATATGATTTATTTAAAGCTTTCTTCGGTGTTCAATTTTTACCGAATGTGACGAATCGGCAGTCATTCAAATATTTGGCAATCACTCTAGAGAGCAATAGTATTTTGGTATGTAAATGGTTTAGTTGTATTAACTGCATAGATAATAAAGGGCCTTCAACAGCGACTATTAGAAAGCGTGATTGAACCGCTTAAAGGACGAAATTAAAAAATAAAGCAATAGTTTACAACAACAATGCACCACTGAACAAGAAGATCTTGCTTATTTAGCCCAAATTTCTAGACCTTGTCTTCTAGAGAAAACATATACGCTTTAGAATAAAAATTTTATTAATTTTCAACATCTGCAATCATTTATTACCTGAGATATCGATCAAATCAAAAGAAGGTGTATCATTCAGTACAGAATTCTATCCAAAATATATATTTTTTAATATTATACAAAACAAAAATATAAGACAGCATTTAAAACAACAACAATTTATGTGAACAGTGGAATCTTCATTCAACGTTTCCGATTTTTGCGTTTTATTTATTCTGCATAATAAAATACTATTTACTATTATCTTATTCACTTTTATTAACACAAACAAACTAAAGTTTTCTAACCCTCATAATAAATATATCTTACTTTTTGTTCCTTTAATTAGAATCTGGACGTTTATTTGTATGGGGTGAAAATAACTACGGCCAACTTGGTATTGGTGGTCACTCAACCAATGCCAACAACACCAACAATACCAATACCAGCAACAATAATGTCGACATTATTATTAAGCCTACCTGTGTTAAGTCTCTAAAGACATTGGGTTTGAAAATAGCCGATATAGCCTTTGGCAGTGATTGGTCGGTAATACTCACACGTAAGTGGGTGGCAATCAAATTATGGAAATTATTATTTTCAAATTTTTGTTTTGTAATTTTTCATTTCTTTTCAGATTCCAATGAATTGTTCTTTACGGGTCGTAATATATTCAATGGCGAAAGTCCGGTCCGTTCAAATTTTACGGAATCCACCGTCAATGGAGAACCATGTGAAATTATACGTAAACCCTTTCGTTTGGACGAGTTCGATGACTGTTTGTCGAACAATGAAGAGGCCGAGAGTTTTGTAAATGTTTTAGCCGGAAATGAACATTTTGTGGTATTGACATGTAAGTTGAATTGTTGTTATTCTTTTTTTTTCATTTTAAAGTTGTTGCAATTGTATTTTATTTGTTTGTTGGCCATTTTGTAGTTATTTAGCGCCAGTCATTCATTCACTGGGTTTATAGTTCATTGTTTCACTTGGCTAGTGAGTACATGAAATGTGCATATAAATAACATTCCACGACCTGTTGTTTTCCGCCAACACCACCAACAAAAACAAAATATTGATTGTTTATGACATGCAAAATATTTGAATGGTCGTTTATACTGGAAGCTAGTGGGTGGCGGCTATATTACAAATAAAATAAAAAAGTCAAGTCAATGATAACAGGATATTAACATTAATTTCCATTAGGAAAAGATGGGAACTGGTTAAAGTCATTGCTACGGGTTTATATTTCAAAAACTATTAGCATATTGCGTGTCCTTGTTTTGTGAATTTAATACATGGGTTTGAAGTTCTCCCTATTTAGGTTTGAGTAAGGAAAATCGATTGACATCATACACTAGAGTGACACTAAACAAATATTTATTTTTAATGTTTCTTATATAGTCTATAAATTTGTCACCCAATAAGTTTATTTCGCAACTAATTAATGATGCTGATTTTTGAATGATCCAAAAAGCTGAGTCAATGACAGTCACCTCTGTCCATTGTGTAACAATGCTTTACATCCCAAGACCTAAAGGCTTACAAAAGAAATGGACCTTATTTAGAATTTCAATAGATTTACAATGACATTTTCAAATTACATGGTGACATTTGCATTTCATTTAATTATATTTTTACTTTCAAAACAACTTCCTTTGTTTATTTCAGCTTTTGGCCGACTCATTGGTTGGGGTTCAAATCAATCCAATCAACTAGGTAACGCTGAGGAGCCCCTTCTAAAACCCCATGAAATTATTTTGGATTCGCCCATCAAACAATTTGCTTGTGGTCCGGCCTCAACATTGGTGCTAACTGAAAAGGGCAATTTATACTTAACCGGACAACTCAATGAATTTGTTTTCTCAAATTTTACCGAGTTGCAAAAGAATCTGCCCCCAAATGAGCAAATCATTTTCATACACATTTCACATGCCAGTGAGATTTTCATTGTCACCAATACGGGCAGTATATATCGCAGTTATGAATCGTTACGTAACAAGAGTCTTATCTTTCAAAGATTCTATGATTACGATAGTGAAGAGAATGGTCCCATTTGGAAATTACTAAAGGGTACATCATTTTTTGCCGTGCTGACAAGGGCCCATAAATTCTACACAACCTTTTCAGAAAGCGGTCACCATTTGAAAACATTTAGAGAGATTTCGAAATTTAAAAATTTACGTCTAATGGATATGGCATTGGGGGATCGTCATGTTTTAGTGCATGGTGTGCCTAGGTCGTCGGCTTTGGCAGCTACAATGGGTCCTGGGGCAGAACATCGCCTTATGTCACAAAGTACCATAATGGCCAATACCACCGGCGGCCTCATGGGAAGAATGAAAAATGGCGGAAAAATAAAACCAGAGACAATATTGGAAGAAACAACTATAACACCCAAGAGCATACAATTGATGGAGCCGGTGCTGGAAAGACCGAAAACCAATACTCCAGTACACGAAACACTCAATGTGGATGGGAAGGAAGGAGGACAAATTCAAGAATCAAGCGATAACAACAATAATTTAGAACATACAGAAGATACCAATAATAATGAAGAGGAAATGGCGGGAACTTCTATGCAACGAAGATCTCCCACAGAGTCCATAAAGTCACGTAAAAGTACCAGCTCCACAAAGAAAAGCTTGAGACCGAGAACACCATTTCCTGAAAGCAGTAGCGGCAGTTCCCCACAAACAGCCATTGAAAAGACCCCATTGCGAAGTACAGCAGATCAGGCAGAAATGGAGGAAGATTATATTGATCACACATCACCGAGACTAGTGGAGAGCCTTGAAAATATACCAGAGGCAGTGAATGGTAGGTTATTGTATGGAATTGTATATATAGCACTTTAAATAGTCTCTTTTGTTTTAGCAACCAAACCAGGAGTACGTCTCTCTTTGCCCACACCTCCCACCGAAGAGGACGAACAATTAACTGTTGAAATACGAGAGACCACAGATCCATTGGATCATACGGTCACAATTAATGAAATACGATTCATTAACAATGGCATTGATGTTACAGCCAATGTCAAAAAAGAACGAGAATCTGATGATTCTCTTGATGAGACAGAGGACGAAGATGAAGGAGATGATACAAAATCAATTATAAGAAAACAGACAAAAGGTTTCATTAGCGGTGTGGAAAAGGAAGTTGACGAAAAAATAGAAAAGTTAAAAGTTACCAAAGACGATGTTGAAAATACTGTAAAGGATAATGCATTATCTATTGGAAATAAAATTGAAGAAAAGTTCAAGATAACCAAAGTGGAAGCTGAAGATGCCATTAAAGAAAAGACCGCAGCCATTGATGATAAAGTTGAAGAATCTGTGGCAGAGGCAAAAGATTCTATAGAAAAGGTAGCAAATGAAACAGCTCAATGTGTTGATGAGAAAGTCGCTGATGCCAGAGATAGCATAGAAACAGGCGCCATGAAGGCGGTTGCTGGTGCAAAAGGTGCTTTCGATGTCGTTGGTGAGAATGCTAAAAAAGCGGCGAAAGGTGCAAAACAAACAATTGAAAATGTGGGTACCACAATGTCTAAGGCAACGGATGATGCCCGCCAGGCAATTGAAAATGTCGGAAACAATGCTGCCAAAGCAACCGGCGAAGCCAAGGATTCCATGGGTAATGCTATCCGTAAAATGGCCGACGACACCCGCAATGCAGTTGGGGCTGTAACTTCGAAAATCTCCCACGAAGTACAAGATGCAAAGAATAGCTTAAGTTCGCTGCTACAAGGAAAGAAAAATAAAGTAGATGTGGAAAGATCAACCAATGAGCTACAAGATACATCTGCTGTCGACGAATTTCAGGCCGAAGCTAGTGCCAAAGATAGTGGTGGCAGTAAAACAAATCCCACCTCACAATCTACCAATACACCAGGCGGCGCTCAGGAGGACGACGAAAGAACTACAGCATCGGTGAATTCGGCCCATACCTCAGCCGGCAATCCATTTGAAAACAATAACCCCTTTGAGAACAATAATCCGTTCGACGAAAATGATGAGAATAATGGTGGCACAATTCCCTATGACCCCGAACTGGATGCCATGATTGAACGTAGTAAGAAAGCATTTCAAGAGGACGTTGAAAGAGCCAGTATGGCAACAGAAAATCACCTAAGTGATGCGGCCACAGAAGTAGCCGTGGGGGAGAAAAGTAAATTTTCCAAATTTCTTGATGATATGCGTGAAAAATCGAAAGGTCTAACATGCCGTAATGAAAAATCTGTACAAATTATTGAAGGTAAGTGAAAATTACGTGTATATTATGATCACTGCACATATGATTTATGGAAACTAAGAATATTTTATAAATAAAAAGCCTATTAATTTACTACGTGCTCTTATCTGTTTCCTTACAGATCAACCACCCCGATATTCCGTAGAAGATGAGTTGGCCCTACAGCCGGTAAATGCCCGACCTGAGAATGGCTCAAAAGTTTGCACAATATTATAATTATGTTATTTTCTAGTTCAAAGAGTAATAATACCAAATATGTTGCATTTGTTTATTTATAATCAGAGAACATTATTAATAAAGATTAACTTATTTGCAAAACTAACAATAACGTTATTTTAGATCCGAACATTACCTGAAGTATTCCAGCTAGAGATTTATTAGCACTTGTCCGTAAAAATGATGATCACAAAGACCGATGGGGGCTTGGATTTGTTTGTCTACGTGTTTCACTTTATCTTTAAATATTTATTTGTACATTTACGATACAATATACACTTAGAGTAAAATCCACAAAATATACCGAAATTCAATAGTTTCGATTATTTGATTCAGAAGAGAGAAAAACAAAACAATTCACATGTTATTCCTTCTTTTTTCAAAGCAAATGACAAATAAATATTAGATCAAAGCAAAACAACCAATAGAATGCAATGTTACGAATGATGGACAAAGTAAAATTCCCAATAGAACGTTTTGTTTAGAATGAAACCAAAAGGGAGAAATGCAATGATGTTTCAGGGATCTATAAACCGATAAAAAATAATCAGGCAAACAATTTTTTTATTAGAATATTCTACAAACCCTATTTAAAAATATTAAATCTTTATAAAAAGAAACATTTATTTTATACAGAATTGTTCACACTACTCTTATTTCAGTAGATGAAATGTAATTTGTATCCCAACTACATATCCCTACATTTAAAAACAATTGGAAATCCGAAGCAGTTCAAAAATACATGACGCCGTTAACAAATTTGTACGGTCCTGTGCAAAAGAAATTTTAAAAATCCAAAGGAGATTCTTTAATAATTGCATATAAATATATGTACTATGCACAAACTTAAATATATTTAAATTTATATTTATAGATTATAGAGGCAGAGAACTTCAAAATATTTAACAATATAGACTATAGCTTTTATCGTGATAAAGTGTTTTATATTGATTTAATTGGTAAACCGAGCTGAATTTACCTCGACTCAACATACGATAAATCGTATGCTAAATCGAGATAATTTCAAATACAACCCTTATTTTGTCCCAAAAAACAATCGTTTTTCCTTAAATTATGCTTTCAAATTAGATAATATTTAAAATAACTGCCTGACAAAAATATGTCAACTGCTGAAAATTCATTTTTTGTTTGTATTCATAATAAATATTACTATAATTTAAAACGACAAAGCTTTTTATGCATTTCTAACCTACTATATAATTTCTAACAAAATATTACTACACACATCATGGAAGCAGTGAAAAGTGTATGTATACATAAACAAATAACTGCTGGCAAATCGACTTCATTTCATTTTAATACTAAAGACACTTGTATTCTCATTTCAATTTCAAATGACGGATGTTGTAAAAATTTTGATTATGAAAAAATTGGATTAATGCAACTGTCATGCAGATGACCGTAGCTTGTATAATTATGCCATAATCAAATTCAAATAAATAATTTATTACTTTTTATCATTGAACACAGGCTTTGAATATAAGGAAGGTTTTTTATAAGAAATATTGAAAGCTGATGGGAAAAATTACAAACAAATGACTATATGAGACTATCTTGTATAGTTGTGTCATGCATGTTCTGTAACATTGCAATAAATGGATGTCAGTCAGTAGGTTTTTTTTTAAACTGGTACTTTTAGGATAATTTCTGTATGTTTTTGTGCAAAAACAGAGTTGTTTTGAAGTTTTTTCGGTTTAACATACGATTTCTGCAAATAAAGTTAATGAGCGGATTTAATTTTTATGGTAGTTTCATGGTATAATAATAATTTTATCAAGGTAGTTTGTTCCATGATACAATAAAAAGGGGATGTATCAGAACCTTTGTTTTTGTCTCGATCATATGTCAAAATTTTCAATATAATATTTCACATGATTGGACAACGCTGCATATCGAATTCAATTAGAAATTACCAACTTTGACAGTTAATGAAGACATCAGCTGCTCTAAATGGACTACCTATTCATTGTGCCATGATTTGTTCCATCAAATCAAAATACATATTTTGTGTGTGTATTATTTTGAATACTCTGTCTAATAAATTGAAATGTATTCAAATTTATTTGAAATTGAAAGTAATAACTTTGTTATGGATGAAACAAATATTTCTTGGCATTCCTACTGGATTTTTCGCGTTTTTAGTTATGTGTTGAAAAAATATCAAATAAGCACAACCACTTGGTGCGTATATTTATTTTATGTTTTGGCAGGAGAAGCCAAAATAGAAGCTACATAGTCGCTTTTTTGTTACTCAACTCAAGCTGACCTACCTAGTATTATTGTACCATGGGTAGTTCAAGGTAAATTATTTTCGATTTAGCATTATATGAATGAATTTTTGTATGTATTCCCCCCTTAACTCATCATAAACAAGCGACAGAACAGTTGTCAAAAATATACAAATTCATAAACACAGATAGTGGGCTCAACAAGAAAATTTGTAATCAACAGGGACTATTAACCTATGTTGTATCATGAATTTAATCATGTTTATTGGGTTTATTCGATATAAATATAGTTATCCCAAGTATTACAAAGTTGAAGATTTCAGTACACACGACTAATTGTATCTAATAAGGTAAATATTTACATATGTGAATCTCCTTAATAGAGGAATGAAGTTCAAATTGAACTGATAACAAATGCAATGAATACTGGGTGTCACTCATTGTGATTGGAGCTCCCTAACCGCAATGTGCCATACGATTTATTACATCACTGCAGTCATACTGAACACAGCAACCGCTGGAACTGTCAAAACGAATGGTCTGAACTGAATTGTAACATCAAGAAAAAAGCAAATACACTTTTTTCCTAACCGACCGACCTCAACAATTTCAAAAAAAGTTTAGATTAAATCAAAACAAATCTTTTGATATACAGTTAAGTTTTTATTTTAACATTGAAACTAGATTTCGTAAAAAGGTGGCTAAATGCAAATCGCCGTAGCAAAGATCCGTCTGTAAAAAGGATTTTGCTGTACTGCAAGGAAAGAGAAAGGAATGTGAAAAGAGAAACGTTGACGACGGGGATAAAGGTGTTTGAATGAAGAACCAATTGGCTGAAAAAATGCATTGAAATTTAGGAAAGCACACACCGAAATTCCTTTGATTCATAACGAGTTTCGAAAGGTTTTCGCCTCAACTCGATTCAACTACACATTCAAAACAGGGAAAACTGGTGGAACTGCCTCGCCACATTACACAAAATACGAACGAAGCTGACTGGCAGGCAGACATACAGAGGTAAGGTAGGTCAAAGTTGAAACGTGCAATAAGTGAAAAATCGAGTGAGCTATATGGTGTGTCGTTGGTGCGTGCGTGTGTGTCGTCAAGAAAAGAAAAAGTGAAAATATTTGCACGGGTGTGACGTGACAACTCTATAGACGTAATCGTTGTAATGTTCGTAGTCCGACCATTAATCGCAATGAGAAGTGTTCATTGAAGTCCGCGACAAAATCGAACGCAAAATATCGTGTTGTCTGAAATCCGCATATAGAAATATGAAAAGGTCTAACCTCAAAAAAACAACAATGTTTGTGTTGTGGAAATAATTCAACAGAACGAACAACTGAACTGGTTCACAAAACACGGAAGAGACTGAGTGAGACTGCTGCTAACAAAACAAGCATTGTGCGATGGTGTCGGTGTGGTGTCTGTGCTGCTGCTGCTGTGCCGTTAAATAAGAGGCACCAAAGTCAGTCGTCTACTCAAAAGCCAAGATAACAGGCGAGAGGCGAAAAAAGTGGAAATTCATGTTTTCTTCAATGAAAATTCAAGTAAAGTGTGCTTCCAACTGCATTTACAGAACATTCCACGAATGCTTATCCCAAATGTGCCAATATCATGATTTTGCACCCAGACCCTGAGCTCAATATAGAGAAACTTTCGCCGTTTTGTATGAGAGAAAGAAGGCATACGACAAATTTTAGGATGAACGAATGGATGGATGGCTTGAAATGTGGACATCCATTTACGAGTGGCAGGCAATTGTCTGTCGTCCATTCATGTTAGCTAGCCTGCTTTCCTCTGTGTAATCTGTGTGTTGACAATCTGTTCCTCTTTTTGACAAAACATTTATACGTACGTAAATTGACGAGCGAGCAAGCGAGCGAACACATGTAACGCACGTAAGAAGTGAAAAAGTCATTTCGAAAAATCAACACGGCCCAACTCGATCCGATCGGCTCGTGTTAAACTTGTCAAGTGGTTGGTTGGTTAGTGCTGGTGGGGTGTGAGAGAGACATTGAATGTCGTTGTGTAAGACGTAATGATGAAGGCGTGCGGCGCGACGGCGGAGGAGGTAGTAATGTGTTTGTCGTTTTTTTGAGAGGGGGCTAAAGGGAGGTGAAAGTTATTTTTCATAGTCTTCGGGCACACAAACAACTCAACGTTGGTCGGTGGCAGTGGCTGCTCTGTAACAAGAAAAAAAGAAAACAAAACACGTTGGCATAATCGGAAAATCGTAAAAACTTACAAATCACCAACCATCAGTGTTGTTCTACATTAAGGTATACGATAGTGTTTTATTTCTAAAACAAAACAATTTGTTAACCGGCGGCTAAGTGTTCCCTCGCTTTTTTCCCATATACGAGATAATAAAAAAAGACCGCGCTAATCGCCCAATTTCTCGAACAGCTATAACCAGACACATGGTCGCGCCAGCTGATATTTTTTCCTTGTATGATTTTGCCTTGAAATTCTCTAACCTCTCAAAGCTAGCTGTGTGACAAATAAGAAAAACAAAATTCTGTATGCCAAGCGACAGGTGCTTTTCGTCCTATTATCGTTTATGTTTGTTATTTTTTATGGATTTAGATCGGATTTTCGAAAATAAAATGTCTTCATTGGATAATTTCTTCGTTTGCATAAATTTCCAATGTGATTGGTGTGGTGTGAGGAGAATTTCTGAGACGAGAGAAAGAAGAGAACCAAAGAGAAATGTTCCATCAAGAAGTGTCAAGTTTTAAAGAGAATGTGAAGCGGGAGATTTTTTTTGTGTGATCGGTGGAAATTTTAATGGGAGAGCAACAACAAAAACGTGTTTTCTTACAAAACACGGTTGTATTTAAGTGGTAGTAGTTGTAGTAGCAGCACTACTGAGGCTACTACACTTTTATTTCCTTGGGATTTTTGTTTCTGTGTCGCGAAATTTGAAAACAAACCACAATCTATTTGATTAAATACAATATTAAATTAAACTTTTTATAACAAAATACAGAATAATGTGATAAACGCATATAATGTAAGAAAGGAACTAATAAAGGACTAGTTCTATGGCCTCGACGCACACAAAGTGCTATTTCCTTCAAATTAATGTAAAGCTATGTGGCAATGATGCGTGTTGTGATGATGGTGTTTTAAGTGTGCTAGAATGGTTTACAATTTACATGACATGTGGTAGAGTGATTCCAATGCATATCATGAGTCCACCGATAACCTGGTGAATTGCTTACAGAATCTATTGAACATGCGATGCCGCGATAATTTCAATCAAGGTTCAATCGCAATTGTCCTGGTGATCCGGTCCACTACAATCCATTGTACAACAAGATGGTACTCTGAAAACAACCATATATTTACAGATTTGGGATCGACTTCGTCAAATCAATTTATTTCAACGAATCTGAACATATCTCATAGGAGTCAAGATCGAATACAGATACAACAATATATACCTTTACTCCAAAGTCTATTATTAAAATATTCATATTTTGCATTAATATGCCATGTTTGGGAAATTGTATTAAAAATTTATGGACCATTAGATTTTCGTATAATACATAATCGCCAACTTTGCACTATTCTTGTCGAATTTGAGATATACTGGATTGCCACACATCAATCATTTCCACATTCTTATAGGTATTTAGGATAGGTATATACACTTTCGTACGATCAAACATGTTAGGAATTCAATCAAAGGAACAACATCAGCGAAAGAGTTTTGAAGTTTCGTGGATTGTTGTTTTGTTTTTCAGTTGGTAATCTCGTGTGGTCAGGAACCAATTTAATGGTTCCAGAATCGTATTTAATGAATGTTATACTTCAACTTTTGTATACCATTCCATATTGTTTTGAAAGTTAACGCGTTTATACATCCAAAGTAATATAGTATATACTTATTTTACATATATATTAACAACTACCATTTTCTTTTATCTTCCATTAACAGGTGATATTTGTTCCCACATATTTGCCACGAGGACCGATTCTGTCCGTCCCACAAATATACAACATTCATGGCAACATTTTCCGAAAAACGTGATAGTTAACATCCCTGATCTGTGAAACGGAGAGAATATTACATCAATTTATTGTTAACTGCATCCAATACGCCCACTTCTAAATGAAACGGACCAGGCCTATGAACTTCTAAAGTGAATAGGTCGAGTCACAAAACTAGAAACCAGATAGCTATAGTTTTAGTTAGAAGACAAAGAGGAGAAAGAGGAAAATTGCAACAACCAATCACAAAAATTATTCAATAATTTTTTGTTTAGTTGTTAAGACTTCGTAGAACACTTTTCTGCAAGAGAAGAAAAACAACGTAGCATTCCTAGAATGCATATAAAAAGTCTGCAACATGCTCATGCTGCTGCAGCAGCGGCAGCAGCAATGCCAAACTGTGAAATTGTAATTGTATCATCGTCGCCTAATCATAATAATAACAACAACAATAATAACAATAACAATGAAAGTACAAATGGAACATCCAGCAATGGTAGCGGTGGCGGCAGTGGAACTGGTGGTGGAGGCGGAGCCCACAATAACAATCATCATCAGCAGGGTCCAACGACTGCTGCACCAACGGAAATTCCAATACCATTTATGCATTTGGCAGGAGTGAGCGCTGAGGCGCACGCTGCCGCCCAAGCAGCTGCAATGGCAGCGGCCCAGGCAGCCGCCGCTCAAGCTGCGGCCGCTGAACATCAGAACGGTGGGAATGGACCTGCACCTGGCAGTGCTTTGGCCCACCATCATGCCATACTGCAGCAACATCCATTGGCACATTTGGTGGCCACCGCTGCACACAGTCCTGCACTATCGGAACAACATTTTATTGCCCGCGATGCTACCGTCTTGACTAACGGCCATAATGGCAATTCAACGCCCGTCTCCGGTGGAGGTCCGGCACCGGAAAAGCCATTTCAGTGTAATGTCTGTGAGCGGCGATTCCGGCAACTGAGCACACTTACCAATCATGTGAAAATTCACACTGGAGAAAAACCGTACAAATGCAATGTTTGTGATAAAACATTTCGTCAATCGTCCACACTAACAAATCATTTGAAAATACATACCGGAGAGAAACCATTTAATTGTACCTATTGTCCGAAACATTTTCGTCAATTGAGTACATTAACAAATCATTTGAAAATTCATACAGGTGGGTAAAAAACTAATAATATTTTTAAGTGTTGATTTTTGTAGAGATAATTTTTACAGATTGAAATCGAAAATCGTGATAGGATAATTTCGAAAATATTAGCTTTTTAGTTAACTCCTGGCTTTCATTTTCATTGCGAAACTTACATCATCAACCTCGACTCGAAAGAGTATAAATAATCACTTAAAATTACTTTGAAATGATCACTGCCCTTACAAGGCAAAATTCAAATAACAAAAAGTAAATGTGCAATAATATAATTTTGGCTGGTTGGGAAAGTTCTATTGAACTGCCAGTATATCTTACTATAAATAAAGATATATCTGAAAAGCAGACCGTTTCTCGTCTTAAAAAAAAAGTCTGGCATATTTTACTATTTATTCTTATTCTCACCTCACATTATAGTAATCAATTCCATTATAACCCATTTGGAGGTCAATATTATATCAGCCGACCCTTTCTTTATTCGTATACTAGATTAGAAATGACCATAATCAGTATTTCAATTTAAATTTTCTAGGTTTTCGCTATATTATTTTGTGAAAGTCTTAATGTATCCCCTTTTCTTTCTATCCGTTTTCCAGGTGAAAAACCTTTTGAATGTGCCGTTTGTAAAAAACAATTCCGTCAATCTAGTACTCTTAATAACCATATAAAAATCCATGTAATGGACAAAGTCTATGTTCCCGTCAAGATTAAAACCGAGGAAGAGGAAGGATGACTAGAGGATATGATGGTGGTTGCTACTGAGGCTACATCTAATGGGCTTCAACAACAACAACATCATCATCAGCAACAACAGCAGCAGCAACAACAACAGCAAGCACTCGCTCAACAGCAGCAGCAACAACAACACCAGCAGCAACAACATCAACAACAACAACACACACGTCAAATTATTACCTCTACCTTAGCACAACACCAACAACAATTGCAAAACAATAACACAACCATAATAGCGACACATGCCACTAACGGTGGCACATCGGCTGCCAATGCTGCCGCAACAACAACAATAGCTGCAGCACCGTCCAATCTTGAAGCGTTTTCCAATATTGCAACAGCAGCTCAAACACTCGAATTAAGTTCCATAAATGCCGCTCAATTAATGGGTGGCCATTTAACAGCCAATGGTGATTTTGTGACTATGGGTGGTGTGGTCGTTGGGCGCATACATCCAGCCCCAGGTGGCGGTGGTGCATTTTTGCAACATCAATTGCGAATACAAACACCCCATTTGGGTGTCATCAAAATGGAACCGTCACCCCACTCCACTGAATATAATAGTAATAGTAACAACAACAACAGCAGCAGCAATAACAATGCCAATAATACAACGAGACATGCAAATACGGCAAACGAAGGATGAGTCCCTGACTATGAGACACTACTGGAATATGTGCTCAACGAAGATGACAAATGGGTTGAAATCAATGGCAATTTTGTTATGGACTCTTCCAAGTAAAAGAAAATTGAATGACCCCGAAAAAAAACAAAAGCCAATTTCTTAAAAAAAATAAGCTGTATCGTAAACAAAATCGTGTATTATTTTTGTTATATTGTTGTCACGAAAACCAGAAAATATCATTATTGTTGTTAGTTGTTGTTATTTAATATCACACAAGAAGCTGAAAAACAAGTATTCTTAAAAAACAAAAACAAAACGGAAACACAAATGTAAATTGAGGAATTAGTTATTGTTAAAAACAAAACTAAAATGCCGCAAGAATAAATGCTGTATAACAAACAAAACAACCTACTGCTCCAATAGTCATTTTGACTGTTCTTACACTAAGAGTTACTGCTTGCTCCTGCTCCTCCCCGTTGCTGCCTGCCTTAAAGAAATGGTGGCAACCTAACCATCTCTCCTCTAAGCATCATTATTTGTAGTGTAACTAAATTGAATGAATAAAACAAAACTACAAACAATAAGTCTACACAATGAATCCTATCAAATACAAATTAGTAAAAACACAACACACACACTATAAGTAATCAATTATTTTACAAAAAGAAAAACATATGATAAGACCATAAAAAACAAATACTTGAACTAATTGTCTTGTATAGGTAATAAAGTTGTTTTAATTTTTAAATATACATACGTTCTCTTCTAGTTTATTTTTATCCTCTTAAAAACCATGATATTTTTTAGTAAAATTTCTTTTTTTTTTTTGAAAACAAGTCTTTTTATTCAAATGAGGACATTCAACAAATTGACACATGTTAAAACACTTACGTTTGTTAAACAAATTGGAAAGAACGAAAAATTAGGAAAACTCTAACAGGCCCATACACAAATGGAAAACAAGTGATTGAAGAAAAATAGTTTATAATCAAATAATGCAAACAATAATTGATGTGGAATTTTTTGTACTATGCAAGTAGAGTTGGGTTCAACATTTTTGAAAAGTTTTTTTTTTATTAAAAAAATATATATAAATTTTTGGTTTTTAAAAAAGACTTAGTCCTCCGTATATAAGTTTAGTTAGATATTTTTGGAAATTAATAATTTTACTTTAAAATAACTGAAACTTAAACCTTATGCATAGATCGCAAGTGGTTTCAGAATTATGAATTACAGTCCCAACTTCAATGAAGTGACCGAATATCAATATTATATTTTAGCTTCGATTATGAAGATGTAACTTGTTGCACATAAACTGCGTTTAAACTTTCAGAAAGAATACCACTAATAAAATGTATGCTTATGTGGAATTGTTTCTCGGTCTAGAATGTTATACATATTATAAGAAAGTTTGGATGAAAATATCAGAGAATTGTATATAGAAGAAGGGAAATGGCGGATATCAATTATAACTAGAAATGATGAACTATTTCATTAATTCCCCTTGAAATATATTAACACAATGCTGAGAAATACTTTGTTTCAGAGAGAATATGTTTGACTATTTTTTTTTTTTGTAACAATAGTGACCAATATTTTTCAGTTCACGTGAGGCTCGTTAACGGTTCATTATCGTGCCAAAATACATAACGATTTTTCGAAGTAAAGAAATTGTTCCTATTTTCTAATGACAGCGATTTAGTTTTTTATATTAAATTTTGTAATTTTAGTTATATTAAACAATCTATTTTTGTATGATATATATAAATAAAAGTCTTGAGATTTTATTTGATTTTTTTCTTCTTTTTTATTATATAAAAAGTATCAAAACTGTGTACCCAGCCTACTTGCATTTATTGGATAATAAAGACTTTGTTTCAAACTTTATAATACATTACAATTTTGTTTATTTAAGTTATTTGTTAAGTTTTAAATGTTAATTAATAATAACCATAACAGAAAACAAAAGAACACATAAACGTGAAGAAATCTACTATTAGTTTGTAAATTTTCTTTAAGAAATACACAAAACAAAAACTAAACATAGAAAATTAAATTTATTTGGAGCATTTTTTATTTTCCTAACAAATTTTTCACTGAGCTACAATACAAATGGCAAATGTGTGATGGTATAGAAATCATGTTAGCTCTAAGCTGATATATATATTTGAAATACGTTAAAGAATTCCTAAATCCATTATAATGTGGTATATTTCAGTGACTTAAAATGATGCATTCATTCTTCTACAAATCCTAAATGACAAAATTCAGTCCCTTATGCGTTTAGGACATTCATTCAATTTGCTTACAATTTGCGATATTCAATTTGCTTAAAAAGTGCTTAGGTCTTTAAATAAGCATTTTGAATATTTATGTGAAGTATTTCTACCCTTGAAAACTAAAAATGTTAAACTATAAAAAAACGCATTGATAAATATGAAAAATCCATCGAAATTACAAACAGCGGTCTATTTTAATTTGTTATTGTAGAGAAGTGGTAAGGGTTTGATTTTTCAAAAAAAAAAAAATATATTAAATAAAATTATAAGAAAAATGTTTCGTAATTTTTTTATTGCAGGTCAGATGGATTAGAGTAGTAAACAAATTCATTTATAAAATATTTTCCGTATACCCCAATCTGAATGTGTATATGGTCATTTGATTTTTTCTAATTAAAAATTGTCCTGTAAAAATAATTTATAATTTCAAAATATGACCAAGTTATAACTTGTGTGTATTAAATAAATTTTTTAAATATAAATTAGAAGCAGAAAACACACTAAAATGCCGTCCACAAAATTTAATTTTGAAAAAATTGATACTTTCGTATTCTTTAAACAGAATTCCTTTCCGATGCCCATTAGGGATTTTGACTAAACGGCATTAGAAAAATATTGCATATATCGCATCCATAACTGGGGCCTTGTTTTAGCAGATCCTACATCCTGTATTGAATATTTCTTTACATAGTTAAACAATATTTCACAATTGTGTTTAACCAAAAAAAAAAAAAAAAAACACTTTAAAAGCCTTAAGAAAGCGATACACAGAGTCAACACGCAACCTAATAAATAATTTAAATATAAAAATATTAAATTTTATTTTATACAATTTTGTTTCAGTTGAGTTTCACAAAACACAAACAAGCATTATTATTTCCATATTAAGTTAATTTATAATTTAACGAATAAGTGACCACTACTATTTCCTAATTATATTTTAATATAAAAAACAACTATTATTACAACAATTTAATTTAAGACAGTGAAAAGAAAATAATACACATAATAATTATTGTTTAGGAATACAAAAATAAAGAAGGAGAAAAAAAACGTAAACATTTTTCATGCTTTTAAAGAAATGAAAAATATAAAAACTGAAAGTCTATTAGAAAGTAAGGATTAGTTTATAACGTACACACATAAAACACACACACACAACACTCTATATATTGTTATTGTATTATAAATTGTTAGACAAATTTTTATTGATACTTAAGTTACAATGATCATTTGTTTATTAAAACAAAACAAACAATTTTCATTTAATTTTTTCTTTTTGTTTACAATTAACAATAAAAATATCCTATTTCTGTTTAATCCAAACAAAATATGTAATTATATTCATTTCAAAAGATAAAACATGATATAATTTGATTTCACCAATGGGAATTATAAAAGTGTCATTTAATCAAATACTAGGAAAGTTTTGAAAAACGATTGTGGTACCCCATTTTTAATATAATATGAATATGTTAAAATCGCAATAGGAAATTGTAAGTATGAGAATTGACTGCACTTTGTATTATTTCACTATTTTTTTCGATGAGATAAAGGAAAATTCGTTATCGTAATAGAAAGTAGTAAATTCTTGCAGTACGGGAACAGACCAACTGTATGAATAATAAATTTAGAATTTTGACTATGACCACAGACAGAAATTCTCTGAAATCATCCAATCTTATTCTTCGTGTATGAGAGAAACATTGGAAACTATTTTCAATATTTAAATATAAGGATTAACAATATTGAAAATTACCCAAGAAATTTTCAAAAACGCGCTTCTTTTCAAATGTAGCAGTGGTCGGAAATCATTTAACAATATTGAAACAATTGCAGACAATGAATATCAAGATCTGGGAGTGGTAAAGAAGATTTACTTACGTAGTGTTTTATTTCTCTTTCGCATTGAACTAAATGATCGTAGCTGCAACGAAAAAAATGACATAATTAATGTGAATATGTCTTTTCATTAAAACTGGTTGAAAAATTAGGGACGACGAATAAGAATTGTTATCATAATCATATGAAAATTCTTTTTGCAAGAATGTTTCTTGGTGTGAATTAGAATCCTGACTATATTAAATATGTTTGTAATATATTTAAACCTCCTTCATAAATAATTAACACTCCTTCATAAATAATTCCGTACAAGACATTGAAATATATTGGAAAATTTCATGAAGACATGACCAAAATTTCAAAATACCAAGAATTGAACGATGACGTTATACTTTAACATTATATTCTCAAATTTCTATACCACTCTGCAACAAAGAAATTAGTGACCGAACAATAGAGAATTTGTGAGATGGGAGTGCCATTCATGTTTGTTATGGTTATATGGAAGTTTATGGTTAAAGAGAAGTTATGTCGCGAACAAACATTGAAATTTTAATCATGTTACAGTGTAAAAAGTTCCTGCTCATTTAACGTTTCAAATATCAATAATAGGGAAGCCGTTTGGAGAGTTTTCTTAAGAATAGCACTAAACGAGTATTTGGTGACCACCGCTTAAACCAAACTGATATTTGGCGGTGTTCAAATTTTTAATGCATGCACTAATGAGTTTTAAAAATGTCCGTACCAATGATGGCGAACTGAACTGCAATCAGTTTGTTTTTGGCTAATGTTGGTACATTTATCATATACAAGATCGTTTTCATTATATTAGTATACTTTTTTACAATTTTATTTAATTTCTAACAACTGAATTTAATTACAAGAAAAACAAAAAATCAAATCCTAACTCAATGTATACGAACTAAACTAAGAAATAAAAAAAACAAATAAACTACAAATCAATGGTAAATATTAATGTTGTTCCATTATATATAAATGCATATATATGAAATATATAAATATAATAAACAAACAAAAAAATTAACAAATCTACAGGTATAATATAGAAATGCAAAAAAGAAGAAAATATTAACAACAACCAAATACATATGCAAAAATTAATTTATTATATTGCATTATGACATTTCGCTTCAATTTTAGTTTTTTAATCATTTGTAAAAATATTAGAAGAGAATGAAGCATTTATAAACATAAAAAGCTATTACATTCAAAGGTATGCATGTATACACATTATTAAGCCAAACAAGGGCAAAGGAAGACAGTTTTAATGATATAAACATTTTACGTCGTGTTAAAATATTCATTTGTTATAAAAACGAAATAGACACGATTTCAAAAGGGGGTCCACAAGTCCCTTGGTTTATTTAATGTCTCTGAACTCGTTTAAGAGAAATTTTATTTTGTATATATTAGAGTTTCGATTCATACCTGAGTACATCAATTAAATTATTTTGGGCATATACATGTGTAGTAAAAATATTGTTTTCAACTGGATGATCTAAAAAAAGTCAGTTTCCTTTTTGATCATATATCAGGATAGCAACAGAAGAAAAGGACTGATGCAACCATGTCCGGTACTCAAATACCGTTATGATAATATTTAAGAATTTCTTGCTGATATTTCAAAACAGTCATTAAAATTATTTTTTCCAGATTTTCCTGATTATCAATTTCATAGCCGTAAGCTTGTATTTTTACCCATATGTAACTAATAATCGTGAAATCGCAAACATTATGGGATGTAGTAAATGTTAACCAAACATGAATGTACTGTTTATCGGACAGATATATTCACATTTCTATCCTCAATTTAAATAGATTTAAATATATATTTGAATGTTGTTTGCTTTTATTTGGTTTAATATTGTGCACTTAAATAATTTCAAGCACATCTTAAAAAAATACAGGGCCATATTATAATAAAGTTATATGTATATGAAAATGTTAACCGCTTTCGGAATTTTTAATTTGATTTTTTTACAAAAACAAAAAATTAATAGAATAGAATACAACGTCGAATAATTTATAGTAGTAATATTTGATGATAAAGAAACTGATTGTTATAAATGTATTTATTTTTGTAGTTAAAACAAAACACACAAAATAATTACAATAAAGACATTTTTTCTATAGAAATATTTTTTGTATTTATTCCAGACGAATAATAACTAAAGCGTAGTGAGATTAGTTTATAAGAATTTACAAACAAATTAACATATATATTATAAATTAAAGGACATATTAGTGTGTTTTTAACAAGAACAAACTACATCATGCAATTTCGGCACGATGTACAAAAATACATACATACGTAAATTTATGATCATTTTTTGTTTGCTGTATAAATGTGTAACACAAAGAAGAAGAAAAAAAATGAAAATAAAAACAAAATAATATGGTAATACAACTCCAACATTTAAAATAAAAAATATAATTTCTTATCGATGTCTGTTTGTAAATGGAATGATGACGAAAACACAACCGAGGTGTTGGGAGTTTGGGACAGAAAGTCAATGCAGGTGACAATCTCCCTACCAATCCCTGTTAGATGCATTGGCTTTATATCCTTGTATATGTACTAAATAATAAAAAATACATATGTAACTAAAAAAATAAGGAATATGACTATAAATTACATTTATATATAAACAATATTAAAAATATATATTTAATGTAATGCTAAACAACAACAAAACTGGTGATGATATGTAAATGATTATATTTTGTTAGTGATGAATTACAAACAAGAAAATAAGCAGAAGAAACACACAAACCCACACCCACACAATAACAAGTAATAGTAAAACAAAACACAACAACAAAAGTACCTTTTTAAAGGTATAAAAACTCAAAATATCAAACGAATATTATTAATATTAATAATAAAAAACTAAGATTACAGAATGAAAAAAAATATTGTTGAATAAAATTCTATAGTGATGATGGCAAATTAAACTAAAATAATAGTTTTTTAATTAACATGAAGGAAAGAGGTTTTTAAAAAAAATAGAAAGCTAGGATACTTTCACTCAAAACAAATATATATAACACTAGCTGACACGGCGAACTATGTATCGTCCCCCATTAAAAGAAAGACAGTGAGTGATATTCCAATATTCTGCGGATCTATATTCAGAGCCTGGGCAATATTTCGCGAAATTAGCACCATCTGGGCCGATTAGATTTCATCCCCAAATATCTTCTGATATCCTTGACCGTAACCAGTCCATTTCATTGACTAAATATTAACAAAAATGGCCAGCACAGGTCCTATCCTATCTGCACAAATCATGGCGATTGGTCCAAAACTGTGAATAAAAAATAATTCTAAAAATATGAGAATACTTTTTTTTTAATACTCCATACACCACAGTGATCACAAAAATCGATATATTTCAGATTTTAAAAGATGTGTACTTCCCATAGATGTGAAACACCCCCATAAAAAGTAACATATTTATTTTATTTGTTTTTTATTTTTATTTTAACGTATACAACAAATAAAAAATAAATATTACAGTATTCCATTTTACACAGGACAAAAGAAAAAAAACAAAAATACAATTACAAATTCCGATAAAAATTACGAAAATATAAAAGCAAACCACCTATTGTACTTCTTCCTCTTTGATTAATTTCTTAGCTGGAAAACTACTTAGGTAATCAAGCCATTCACTAAAATCAACCTCAGGATATGTTTCCTTTTGTTTAAGCACCACATTTTGCAAACTTATGATGTATTTCAAATCATTGCGATATTTAACAATGATAGCCTCATCAATACAAATATCAGCCTGTGAAATATTCACTTTTGGCTTTGACATACGCACTGTCATTCTCAATTGACTTTCCAGCTTTTTAATATCTTTTGCAATTTTCTTCAATACTAATACCCCATTGCCATTGGTGGGATAGCGGTGTACCGAATCATTTGTGGTAGTTAGGGGAGAAATCTTATCGTAATCGGTGATGATATGTAGGAAAGTTTTGGTGCCATGCCATTCACAGTATTCACGTAAAGCATCCAAAAGCAAATGTAGATATTGTTCACGTGATATGTCCTCATCTGGTTTGGAGAGTTCACTTTGGGGTTTATATTTCAGCCAACGTTTTTTGGCAATATCAACGGCAATCTTTTGTGGCGTTAATGGTTCGGTATTGGTAAAGAGAACATTATCAATGAACTCGTAACGAACATAGGGAATGCGTAGAAGATGTATGGTTTCCATATATTTTGATATTTCTTCGCGATTGTGAACTATAATAGAAATATAAAAATTTGTTTAGAAGTGAATTTAATAAACAAGTGTAAGATTTACCTTTGAATATTTTGAAAAATTCTTTAATCAAATTCTTGGTTTGTTCTCCAAGATAGGGATATTTGACTCCTATGGCAGTGTTTTCCATATCAGCTGTATTACTGGCAACCATTAGCAAGGAAATGTAACGCTATGATGTCAAATAAATCGTTATTTAAAATAAAATGATAATTGAATTGAGTTTACTGAGACCTTACCTCCAACACTTGTAGGCGTTCTTTACACAGTCCTTTATTGGCACTCTCACTATAAACACTAAATATTCTTCTTGCCACACGTGTCATTCTGGTGTACTGGGTTAGCTCACACAAGACCACGATTAACGGACGATTATCATTACAAAATATCCATTCTTTGGTTTTCTTAAAATGATGCAATATCCACATTGCCATATCATATTCCAAGATTTCCAACAACAGTCTCAGGCACATGAATATGCGCTCTATTTTCTGGTCCATTGGTAAGGCCGTATATGTTTGTTTCTGTCGTTCTCTTTCTTCGTAATCATTTTGATTCCATATGTCATTGCAAACACTTAAATCCATAGAATTTTGTGGCGATGTTAGATGTGAAGCTGCACTTGATACAGTTGTTGGTTTTTTTAAGGAATCACTTTTACTTGCATTTAATTCATCCGGCTCAGCCGTTTTTAGGATATCCTCCAGCAAATCCAAAATTATATCAAATATTTTGTTTGATTTTGAAAGAGGTTCATCTTTTTTAACATTTCCCAGTTTGGATTGATCCAGTCCGTATTCCAAAAATCCCACGTAAAAGGTACGTAATTTATGCCAACACGGAGGGAATGTGCGTACAATCATGGAGAATAGTTCAACAGCTTTGTGATACGATTGTTGGAAGGTTACAATATTCTGATGTTTGGTGCTATAGTTAATGCTCTGTAAGCGACAAATACATGTAATAAATAATCTTTTATTGTAGTTATGCACAAAAAACTAAAATGGAGCTAAAAATGTTACATTAAGTCAAAGTTATGCTAGCATAGATACCGCTTTATTTTTAACATAATCGTCTGACTATAGTTTGTAATATTGGATGGATGTGGAAAATATTGATGTTCAATCTTCCATTCTTTTTAATGATATTTGCATAGGAATAGGGTTGTAAATGAAATCCACATACCAGTACTAGCTCCATAATTTTCATAAATATGCCCTTGCCAGGAAACTCTCCACGATGTACCATATCAGTTGTGGAATTTATAAAGGATACATAGCGGTAATTATCTAGAGCACTACGCAAACTACGTGCTTGAGATTGTATTGGCGCTTCCGGCAAATCAGAATGATAATGATGACGATGACAATAGGTCAAATCGTCCAGACATCTTGGATGAAAATCAAGTCGCAAACGTTTACCAACATTAAGATACAGATTGGAAATTACGGTTAGTAACTGTTCTGGCATATCATTACCGGCTTCTTCTTCATCGTTGGCTTTGGTTCCATGAGCCTTTAATGAGAAACCAGTTGAGGAATTTTTAGGTTCTGTTTTGATTTTTGCATTGGACGAAATAAGAGCTTCTGACGACTTTGATTTTTCATCTGATGGCTCTGACACTTCCTCATTTTTTTCATTATCTAATTTTTGTTTTTTAGGTGGACTTATATCTTTATTTGCTTCTAAATCATCTCCAGCCGATATATCCATGGGAGACTCTTCATTAGCTTTACGTTTCTCCTCAGTACCACCTAATTGATCTTGGTTTTGATTGTCTTCGTTGTTGGTATTTTCAACGTGTTGATTTCCATTTTCAGGATTATCTGTGTTGACAGTTTGTGGCTCCTCCTCATTAACCATGGCTTCCTTGCTTTTTTGTTTTGACTTTCTGGTCTTTCTTACTTCGGTGTTGCTTTCTTTTAGCTCTTTCCCACTTTCCGTTTTCTTTGAAACACGCTTTGACGCTTTAACTTTTTGATTTTTATTTTCCTTTTCCGGATCTTTGTTTTTACCGGATCTCGTTGTGGCCAATATAGGCATTATTTATTACAGCCACTTTCAAATACTAATTGATTTTTATTAAAAACTGGATAATTCTATTGTCTGTGATTTTTTGGCGGTTGTAACACCACTGTGTAAGGAATCACCTTAGTAAACAAGACGCACAGATGCCCAGGAACGCGAAAACAAACAAAACAAAAGCTTCTTCTTAAAACATGTAGCCAAGTGAATTGATAGCTTTAGATTCAGAAAGCAAAGCAAGGAATCTATAGATCGACTTGTACAATGTCATATGTTTTGGAATGAAAACTGGTCAGTTAAAAGTATTAATTAAAAAAGGTATTATTTGGGCATGTGCTGCATTTCGTGAACATTTGGTGTGTTATATTCCGAATACCAAAAAAAAAAAAATATTGGAAATATGATTCGAACACATGTAGCCTTGTGGATTGAAAAAGAAATGAGATGGTATGTGTTTTTTTCTTAACACATACAAGTTAAAAAATAACGCAGAAGTAATATTTAACTTGTTTTTACAATATTGAATTAAAAATGGTAGAATTTAGATTACTTTTTCTAGTATATATATATAGAATAGGGACTGATTGTAAAGTCTACATTTTTACTATTTTTTACAGCATTTAATTGTAGCCTAGGGCCTTTGAGATAATGGTCGGACATATCCCTTGGGTCCGATGCGTCCCTAAGGCGACATCGTTTAATACGTTCCAATATCATTAGCCTTTTTCTAGTAGATAACCAGGGCAATAAACAAACCAGCTGACATTTTTCTCATTTTTGTTGTTAAACATATCGCAAATCGATTAATAAAACATATGTTTTTGTTGATAGTTATTGAACACAGTTCGTAATACATTGAACAAAATGGGAATCTAACAAAATTGAACAAAATGGGAAGTTGACAACATATCCAAGACGAGTTGTTGACCTTTAAATTGATACCTATTGATGCATGTACTCGTACTAACATATTTAAAGGCACCTATGTGTTCTGATCATGATGAAACAATAATGTGATGCATTAAAACAAAAATATTTGTGTTTATCCGGCAATCTGTCAAATTGCATCTAGTAATATTGGCAACATTACACATCGAATTCCTGTAGAAATTAAGCACATCGACAGTTAATCCAATAAATAGGTAGTCCATTAGTCCAACTCTGCATATTTTTACTCTGACAATATTCAGGAATATTGATTATAAAATTAATTATCTTATAAATTAAAATTACTAACCTATTCTTGGTATGTCCATTTTTGCAACTTCAATGTGGAAGTCAAATTGAACATTTACAAAACTAAATTAAAAAGTCAATACACCTGTCACAATCAGTGTTTGCACAGATTTTACATTTCGTGGTGGAAGTACAAACATTCAAAGCTCTGAAACTATTTGTGGAATATGTCTGACTAACGAACTATACAACTGTTACAGTTCGTGATTTATGGAGTTTAATTTGGGAAAACATAAAAGTTTTCAAATGAATAAAAAGAACACACACACATATGCGAGGAAAAGAAAAATGTTCACCAGCTAAAGGTTAGCAGCGCATTTATATTCCATGTCACAGCAACAACAACAAGAATGGCAACATGAAAATTTAAATTACCTGTTAATGATTTTTATCTAGATGTACCCAAAGACAAACATTTAAATGTTTTTCTTATTTTATTTGAAATTGTGTGTGTGTGATTTTTCAGCGAATAAAAACGTTGTCCTCTGGCCAAAACGTTTTAAACTAAGTTGTAAAATTTTAGAACATACATACATGTATATACATGCAAAATAGTATGGCAGTAGTTGCTAAAAATCCGAAAACAAAAAAAAAAAAAAAGAAACTAAAAAATTTACAAAATAACAAGAGCAATAATGTTAAAATAAACATTTAAAATGTTTAAATCCCACACAGAGATTTACACTCGAGAAATGTTTACAGTTGGATTGATTACTCATACAAAATTGTGTCTATTATACTGACAATTCCAATTAGAGATATATTCTATCAGGTGTATACTAAGTATTGCTATACTATGTTGGTCTTATTAATGTACCCTCAAAGATGGATCTTGAAAGTATTATTGAAAAAATTACCCTTGTATGATGAGGAGTTAATTATAGATTTTATTACAACAATTGGAAATTCCTGCACATTTTCTAATGCGCCTCGTACAATTACTTAACCTATTCCATTATCAATCAATATTCAGACATTTAGTAGTAATTTTAGTTCCCAGGCATCATGTTTTATGGTTTTTTATTTTAATCATGCCCATGCAGTCAATTTCATAATTCCAAAGTGTTGTATATGTCACCAATTTGTGAATGGATAATGAAAAAACACGTAGGGGTTCTGTTACAGTAGGATTTTGTTGTTTTTTCTTCTTCTAATTTTTCAAAACAAAAACTCGTTAGAAGCTAAATTTTTTGGTGGCGCTCGGCGTGGCATATTAAAACCCGTTCAATTTAATACAATTTCAGTTCATACATCATTCTGTATCCACCTCATAAAGTGATTATTTATAGGCCTACTACTTGGAAGGTGTAATTATTTTCCATGTTCCGAAATGTTGAAATAATTGAGTGTAATTAAATAAAATTAATTTTGGTGTGGTGGCATGAGTGATAGTCAAACTTCAATTTTTTCTAAATTTATTTTGATTGGTTATTCAGAGTCAATGCATAGTAAAGGTTAATCAAGAAATATCCACTTTTGATTGGAAATGAAATAACCTTCACATTTAACATTTTATGTGTTATGGCATGCACTTTTTTCATGACAGACAGACAAGTCACACACAATCAGGTCAAATATGTCCGAACATTACATTTTGACAATTTATAACATTTTATAATTTGAATACTATATTGGATCTGTGTGTAAAAAATAAACGACATATGTATGTTTGTCGTTGCATACACACATATATATCTGTCAAATGCCAATACAAAAATGACAAACATAAATTGATGGAAAATTCTTTAAATTATTACAATATCTTATCTTAAATTAATTCACCTACTAATCTAAACAAACAATAAATAAAAAGATTTTAATAAATTACAGAATGGGCCAAGTAATACACCAATTTGATGTATAATGTTACGAATAGAAAACACTGCAAAATGTATAAAGTGACACATAAAAGTTTTTCTTGTTGTTAGGAATTTCTAATAAAAACACTCCTAAACAAGTTGGAAAAAGGCCAACGAAACATTGAATAAATAATGAAATAAATTAGTTTTATTTATTCTATAAAATGATTGACCAATTAGCCCGATGAAAACGTACTTCGTTATATTTATTTTTAGTCGCATTTTCCAACCAAAGGGCACATAATTTGAGGGAGAAAAAATATATTGAAGAAACTGCTTAATCACCCTACACACCAATATTGACCATAATTAAAATGTTTGTACCATTTTGTTCCTTTGTTCTCTTATATTAGGTATCTCCAAAACTACCTCCATATCCCAACACTACACACTAATTCTGACCGCAACTGAAATCTAGCTCTATACTAAATTTGGTATCATTTATTACCCTTTGTACTACATGGGTAATAAGATTTCAATTTGGTCAACCAAATGGAAATCTTATTACCCAATTTCAGGATTCCAGGTCTTGCGGTACTCCCAAAATTTAAAGTGTACCAAATTTAGTACACATTAGTATGAATTTCCAAAACTACCTACATAGCTCAATTCTACACCTCAACAGTGATCCTAACTCCAAATTTCAAGATTCCAAATCAATAGATTTACCCAAAATTCAAATTGTACCAAATTTAGTCCCATAACCAATAAGTATGAATTTCCAAAACAACATCCTACAGTGTTCCAGCTCTATTAGTTCACCCAAACCCAATTTGGTACCATTTAGTGTACAAAAGAATTTAAAAAACTTAATTTAAAAAACTTCCTACATAACCCCAATCTTAGCCCTCTTCTCCCACAATGATCCAAACTCAAAATTTCCAGATACCAGCTCTATCGGTTCACCAAAAATTGAAATTGTACCACATTTAGTATCCATAAGTGTGCATTTCCAAAACTACATGCATACCCCAATCTTACACTCTAAAAGTATCCTTATTTCCAAATTTCTGTGTTCCAACTGTATCGGTTTACCCAAATCTAAATTATAGTACGATTTTGTACTTTTTGTACATATAAGTAAAAAAATCCAAAAGTGCCTACATATTCTAATCCTACACTCCGACGGCAATGTAAATTCAGGATTCCACATCCATCCGTTTTTCCAAATTCAAATTGTACTACACACTTTTGGTATACATGAGTGCACACTTCCAAAAAAACATCTTTATATCAACCTTACTTCCCAACCTTGATTCGCATTTCCAATTTTTTAGCTCTATACGTTCATATGCAACGAAATTGTACCAAATTTAGTACATTTTAGTACTTTTCGGATACTTATAGCTCGTATTCCCAAAAAGCCGTTGGTACATCTATCCTACACTTTATCAGCAACCGCAATATAAATTTCATAATCTTGCTCTACAGGTTCGCCAAATACAAATGATACCATATTTAGTACTTTTCATTACGTTCTAGTACGAATTCAAAAACCCAGCTTATCTGTCACATTTACACAAAATTTCAACATTGTAGCTTCATTTGTTTCGTCTGGACGTTGATAGAACGTTAAGTCAGTCAGTAAGGCAATCAGTTAGTCCGTCAATCCATCACTTTACTCTTTTATTATTATTGATGCCATATAATCATCATATACCATGGGTCGTATTATATTTATTTTTTATAAGATTATGTATACGCCAACATGGGTAGGGTGGGTAGGTTGCTCTGTTCGAACATTCGATTATTTTTGTATGTACAGGAAAAAATAGAAATAACCCGTAAGCAGGACATTTACCGATTACCTACTTTTTGGAAATGAATCTTCAACTGCTTTATGACATGCAACATTACAATTATTATATTTCAATAGGTTTTTATTTTAAAGGAAATCCATAATCTTCTAATTGTTGATAACCA